ATTAATCTGTATTAAATATTTTATTTAATTCAAAATTTTTGTAAAAATTATTTTCCATTTCCATTATTTAGACATTAGGCAACCAAAATTGCTCTCTTTGTTAAGACACAGATTTAATATTAATTTTTAACTCTTTGACTGTTATATTAACGGTCAATTTGCTCCAGCTTTTAATTAACCTAGAAAATTAGAAAATTTACTATTTTTAAATTTTTAGAGGTTATTTTGTAAAAGTATAAATTTACAGGAAACTGAGTTCCTTCATGTCTTGATTACTTTATTTTTTATGTCGGTTTACATTATATATTATCTTAAGTCAAAATGTCCGCTCTTTCTCTTGATAGTCTTGATTAATTTCAAGTCACTCGTTAGCAATTTATGATTATTTATCTCACTTTACTCAACTTTACCTATAGTGATTTAAGTCTAATTGTGACTTCTTATTTTCCACCTGTACAACTCCCCTTCAACATTTAAGATTTACTTATCTCTAACTTTGTGTTCAGTTCGTGACTCGGCAGTAATATTCACTCGGCTACGAGCGTGCACTTAAAAATAGCGTTCTGCCGCTTGACAGTGCGCGATACACACCGACTTAAGTTTAGTCGCTCGTGTAGGTTTGCCGTGTGCGCGCCGCGCGTCTCTATCACAACCATCGCGATAGACAGATAGCGACCTCGCGGTGTATTCCGACTTCTAAAACGTAAAACGCTAAAACACATTTTCGCTTGTCCCTTGTCGCAGTCGTCGTGAAGTCACGACTTGCGTCGTGTGCGTGTGCGCGGCTTGCCGAATTTCGCTTCACCTTCCAACAAGTGGTCGCGAAGTCGGGCATAGTCGTACTTACACATAAGAATATTTCCTTAGTTGTAACAAACAAATCGTTTATTAAGCGCTAAGCGGTCGTTTTACGCCGGGTTTTAGGTTGTTAAATTGTTTTAAGTTTATTTTAACGAGCGATTTAGTGTCGCTTTTTTTTATTTTGCTGCTCGTTTCCGATTATATTAACAGTGTGTTTATGACATTTTTTCGCTGCACGTGAAAGTTTCCCTTGTCGGCACGACGGCGTGCTCAGAAATGGGATTATTCAAAGGTGAGATGTTTATTAATTAATTATTCAGACAGTGTCGCAAACGAATACGTTTAAGAAGTTAAACTACTTTACAACATTTTAGTTTCATTTATATCAAATGGTGTTTATTTAATGTGTCGATTGAAACGTTTTAAACATTGGAAAATTCCTTTGATAATGTGTTTTAATAATAACGTGCGATTCACTTGAATTCCGTAAACAATGACTTAACTTAAGCCAAATGTCTAAACATAAATTTGTGTAATAATTTGCTAGTCGGTCTTTATAAGGAATAAATTCATCATGAGTTATGCCTTAAGTAAGTTAAGATTTTGCTTAATTTAAGAAACTTTTTACTTTTGGCGCCAAAGTTAACCGTAAAAAATCTCAATGTCATAAATATTTTCGGCAATTAAACAACATTTCAATTAGTTAACATGAAACCGGTATTAAACTCATTCGAATTTTATTTTTATATTAACTAATGTTCATAGTACGTCATTAAAGGTTTGTTTAACGTGTATAAAATGCTTATTTTGACGATAATCTGACACTTCTGGGTCATTAGTGTTCTTTTACTTTCGGTTAATTCAATTTCGCTTATGAACTACGAATTAAATTCTAATTATAAGCGCTTTAATAATTTTCAACGTCTTGATTGCTGATTAAGAAGCGCCTGAATAAATAACACTAACACTCTGGTGTCCGCGACCTTGCGTTTTGTTGTTTTTTGCCGGCTCACTTTGCGTCGTTTGCATTATAACGTTTTTGAGGCGAAAAACTCATCTAACAAGTCTACAGACAAAAAATTACATGAAGGTCTATGTATTATTTTGTTATACTTAATAAGTGTATACTTGGTTGCGTGTAGCTTTTTCACTTAAATCTAATAATCGTATTAAATAGGAACACTTGGTATGTCAACAAATATAATAAATATTTCAGTGCGTATTAACATTGTTTTGCGTAGTAATGTGTACAAAACACGCTAAATGTGATTAAATTAATCAAGTTATGCAATAGGTATTTTGTCGGGATGTGAGTATAATTATAAATTTTAGATTTCAGTTGGGTATTTCAAGTGAACAAAGTTTCAGTGAAAGATTATTATTGATAAGACCATTATATTCTGTGTGGCGCTATCTCGGTTTGAAATATATAACTATAATTATAATTATTATTGATTCTTCATACCAACTTCAAGTTTAATTTTTGTAAAATTATGTGATTTGCGTTTCTCTTTAACATTTAAACCATATCTAAACCACAATCTATAAACATTGATTCCGTCGTTTTTGAGTGAAAGAGTAATAAACATTCTCTCATCCTCACAAACCTTTGCAATTATTCTCTCCGTAAGATTTTCTCGTGTTGATAACCAAATTAACACTTTTTAAAGTGTGTCTGGGTGTTATCATGAGAATATATTACATAACATAATTAAAATTCAACAATTCCACTTTACCCAGTTGGAATATTCATAAAATTGTTTGAAAATCTAATATTGACACATTATATCCATACATCATACACTCAGTTGGTGGCAATGGCGGCAATTTTAGAGTTTTAGACATTCGTTGTTAATGCAAATGTATTGCCTCAGCATGTGCTTGATTAATGCCGTGATTAATTAATATAATATTCAGCGTGACAAATATTGACGCGCGTGCGATGCTCGTGCGTTTTGTGCATTATAACTACTTATAATAAATCATAAGTGTGAAGTAAGACTACTCATTGGACAATTACTACTAATTACAAAATACGAAAATGGCGAAAATCGAAAACAAGTCACTTACCTCGAGATAAACTTATATTTATGATATTTGATTGTTTAGCAAACATTAAATGAAATTATTATCAGTTTCTTTTCTAAGCATTAAAATTTAAATATGTGTATAGACATAATATCTTGTTTAACCAAAGTGGGTATGTAGTGGTTTGTTTTATTTGACTTTAGATTTATATTCAGATGAAAAACAAAAGTTGTTGCTACAATTTGTTGCTACTTGCAAGATTTACTCTCATACGATGATAGCGTGATTGGTGAATGATTCACACTTATTTATAATATTGATATATTAAACAATAAATTAATTACATTTCATCATCAATCATCCAAAATTTCCAATGTTTGCAGTGATAACATAACATGTCTAGGTTGATAATACAACTTTTATTAAAACAGATTTCTATATTATTTCTATAGGGCGCATTTGAAACAAAATATTTTTGTCTTTTTTAGTATTAATATTACTAGTGGCCCAAACTATATTTATAAATGTTGCCAATAGTAACCAATAAATATCAGGCACCTCTATTAGTACAGTTTATGTTTTTTCGGTATTTTTGTGGTTGGCACCGGTTGAAGTTTATTTTGATCGTCTGTGTGAGGTATTCAACTTGCGGAGATGTGTCGCAATCGATTTAATTCGCCTGCGAACCGATAATAATGAGCAAACATATGAATTAGTTTAGTTTTCGTTTTGTATGCGCATGCAAAGCCGAAGTGTGCAAGCGCAACGCAAGTTGGACTTTGTACCCGCGAAAATAATTCATCCACTACGCGCAATGTTTAAATGAATTATAAAATCACGTCGGCGCAAATAACACTACTATTTTAACCTTAAAATCTTTCAACTTCTCAAAAAATGCTGTAAAAGTTGCCTATAGTAAAATGTATGCAACTCAATAAGCATTCAATTCATAACGCATTGTACTTGCTGGCCTCATATGCTTACACAGTTTTATTTTTAAATAGAACATTTACGCTCGATTAAGAGCAATAATTATTGACTCACGTGTTGTTAATCGCGTTCATTATCCGAACTCCTACTCGTTTTATCGCAGCAATAATTTGCAATACACATTCGCATCGAAATAATATTTACAAATCATTTCTCCATTAAATATCTGTATAAATGTAACGATTTTTAGCTTATCTAGTTGTATTTGTTTACGCGAATGCTTTTCACAGCATTTATCAATAACACTAATTGGCGGAGAAAAAAACCTACACATGTTAGAATTCGAGCAAGTGTGATCAACATGTGGTAAACATGAATTTTGCATGTTTTAGAGTGTATACACTAAAAGTATTAACATTTAAGTTGCCGTATAAGTACGACGCAACCAAATCGGCATCGTTTTTTGTCTGTACCTATGTCCGGCGTGTGTATTTAACGAGTTCATTTGTATTTTGTATCTATTTATAATTATTATTTTATTGTCATTGTAATTAATGGTTGATTGTTGAGTTATGCGTATATAGGAGTAAGTTAAATATTCGCAGCAATGTCCTTCGTGTTGTTGTGTGTTGTGTTTGCGTTTTATGAGTAGGTAAAGATGCAAAACGTCAAATATCATCATTTTTATTTAATTTGCGTGAATGCACTTTTTACCGCAATTTTTACAAGGTCAAATGATACTACTCGTAGTTGTGGATAGTAGAAGTACCAGTTTTTAGCATTTATACAGGGTGTTATAGAAAATTATATCAGATGTATCAAGTTTTATGCCCAAATTTTGTTTGTTTCTAAATTTTAAGCAAATATAAAATTGTATCTGTTTTTAATATCTTTTATTAGGGAAAAAATTACTTTGTAACAACTTGTAATACCTACGCGTGCGACGCACGACCGCTAATTATCCATTTCAATAATTGAATACTAATGTTATAATTTCGTTCGGGGTCATAATTTAAAAATTGTAATTAATTTTCCCCCCTTGCAAGCAAACCGGGCAAGATATCTTGTTGTACCATTGACAGCCTTCCTAAATTACATTATTTAGAATCAAGTTAAAGTTATATCAACATGTTAAGAAGTAACGTTTATAATTATCAACTTCTGTTTGTAATTGAAAGCGTAGCGTGTAAACATTTTGTCTGGTTACATTGTTCTAAGGTATATTGTGTTGTTTGTTGCAGTAGACTCAGATATCGCGATGGCCGGCAGCAATACGCTCACCGCCAGCCTATCAACACCCAGCGTGCCCAACGCCCAGCTCAGCCAACTCTGCGCAATTTGCGGCGATCGCGCCACCGGAAAACACTACGGGGCGGCGTCCTGCGATGGCTGTAAGGGTTTCTTCCGGCGCTCGGTGCGAAAAAATCATCTTTATACATGCCGGTAAGTGTAAAATCATTTTACTTTTTACATTTGAAATATCTATCTATTTTGTATTCCATATATTTAGATTAACCTATAATATTAACCTAAAATATATCAGCTATGTTTATATACACATATTTATATTTTTCTATTACAATTTTAGCCTAGAATAGTCAAAAAGTATACCATTAACTAAGTATTATCTAAATTTGACGTTGTTTTTATGATTTTCGTGCATTTAGTTAAAATTACACCGAGTTCTGTTATTTTTATATATTTGAAGGATAAGAATGTAACACTAAAGAATAAAAACTCGGTAATTGCAATTTAATACACACTACAAGTCAATTACACTTCTTCCTCTTCGTGTATGTGTAAATGTGCATGAATCCAATTAGAGGATAGTTGTTTAATGTAAGCACTCATTAAATTTGCGCGATTATATAACATTTTATTTATTTAACTCTCAGACGAGTTTTAATACTAAATAAAACCTTGTATTTATTTAGAAATTGTAAAAATACTTAAATGTTTTAAGGCTTTAATTTATAGATAATTCTTTGAGTGTTTTTTAAAGAGTGATACTAATATAATACTATTTATTGTTTGTTACACTTGATTTATCTAACGATGCATTCAATAAATGCAATATTTTAATGTTTTCGTCAGTTGGTTGCCGCCTGGTGATAGGCTACTTAAGTTTACATTTTATTGTTTTATTGTGAATTTTACGGCTTTACGTGAGAGTTTGTGAGATTAATACACTTGAAATTATTGCAGTTATTTGTACAAATTATATTAATATTATATTATCAGTAAATTACTAATTGTTTAATTTTTGTTTATAGATTCAGCAGGAATTGTGTAGTCGACAAAGATAAACGTAATCAATGTCGGTATTGCAGACTGCGAAAATGTTTTAAGGCCGGAATGAAAAAAGAAGGTCAGTGTTACACTCTCACACACAACAACAAAGTGTGCTCGAGGCGATTAAACACAATTAAATTGTATCTTTGCAAATGTTGTAGCGGTACAAAATGAGCGCGATCGTATCAGCTGTCGACGACCAAGTTACGAAGAAAATACACAAGGAAATGGCCTATCGGTCAGCTCTCTTCTTAACGCTGAGATGTTATCACGTCAAGTTGGTGCGGCATTAGAGGTAATTTTTTTAAGCGATAACCATTTCCGCGATAATATATGATAATGTCGATTTTCTCAATAGCAAATGGGCCAAGCACCAGGCAACGATTACGACCTGTCAACAAAGCAGCTAGCTAACATTAACGATGTCTGCGAGAGTATGAAACAGCAGTTGCTCATCCTCGTCGAGTGGGCGAAGTACATTCCTGCCTTCACTGAGTTGCAACTAGATGATCAGGTGGCATTATTGCGCGCGCACGCCGGTGAACATCTTCTGCTTGGCCTTGCCAGGCGATCTATGCATCTGAAGGACGTGCTTCTCTTGGGTAACAACAGCATCATCACCAAACACAATCCAGGTATATATCTTTAACCACACTTTAAATATGCCGCATGCACAACAAGTTGCCTACCTGTAGCATTAATATTGTCATATCTCTCTTCATATACTAATAATAACAATTACTGTAGTATTTTTTGAGCGGACTTAAATGTTGTTGATGTTGTTGATGTACATGATTGTTGGTACAATTTGCATGTCCGTACATAGAAACATAGAACCGTCGTTGGGGTGTATCAAACTCACGTCCATTTTGGTATGCATGGCCGAAATTCCAAGGGGTGGGTTTTATTTGAAGGTGGTGCGTGTGCGTACGGACATGTAACAATTGTACAATTGCTTTGGCCGTGTGCGTCCACTGCAGTTGTGTTGTTTCCAGACTCCCGAATCTCGCCCGATTTGGACATCTCGCGCGTTGGCACCCGCATCATGGACGAACTGGTCAAACCAATGACTGAGGTGCAGGTGGATGACACTGAGCTGGCATGTTTGAAAGCAATTGTTTTCTTCGATCCAAGTAAGTTATATAACCTAAAAAGTAAACTAGAAGTAAGTGAAGTTGCATACTTATATTCCATACTTGTAGATGCGAAAGGATTGAGCGACACAAGTCGTATTAAGGCGTTGAGGTATCAGATCCAGATTAATCTGGAAGATTACATCAGTGACCGACAATATGACAGCCGAGGACGTTTCGGAGAACTTCTACTGACTCTGCCAGCGTTGCAATCAATCACGTGGCAGATGATTGAGCAGATTCAATTCGCGAAACTTTTTGGCGTCGCACACATCGACAGTTTGCTACAGGAGATGCTTCTTGGTGGTAAGTTAACCAAAACAACATTTCTAATTTTCTTTATATCTTCCTCATTCCTCCGTGTGTATTATAAAACCCCACATACTAATATAAATTACTAAGCGGCAGATTATCACGGTTAAATTTAGAATCGATTTTAGGCGCAACCATTGAGCCAAATCAGCCGATAGCACAGAACACAGCGAATAGTTATCAAAGTACCAGCGATTCGGCAGATAGCCCAATTACATCGCCGATTACCACGCAGTGCCATAGCCCAACTGACCAATTGATCAACGGTAACATTGCCAGCCCAACTAACCGGGCGCCACCTCCGCCTACCAACAACAACAATCAAAGCGTGTTGATTATGAGTGATCTTGGTACTATGGATGAAGATAACTATAGGATCGTCTTCAAGGAGGAGCCCATCATGGAGACAGAGCATTACTAGGTGCTGCCATAATCAATAGGTGACATGAAATGAAGTAAAGTGAAATAAAAAATAATGGGTTAAATATTTTGTTCAATCAAGAAAATGTAAAAAAGTCAAATTTGCGATCACGGCTGTGAAACTACACAATACCTATTTAAATTTGCTCAATATGTATTTTTATTATATTTTCAAAATGCAATGCGTAAAATGCACCATAAAAACGCTCTTGCCATGAAAAAAACAATTGAAATATAAATTAAGTGCATTACCGCAAAAAAATAATTGCATTAAAATATTCAAGTCAAAGAAAATTTAGTCTTAGTTTAGGAAAATTTTGTTTTTATTTTTGTTTTTGTTTTCTTTATTTTCAATGCGTACGTGCACAGACACTTCGCAAGACAAGCAGGACAAGAATACGTAGAAGTGTAGAATACGTTAATTTAATTTGAATTAATGTTTTAGTTTAACTCCTATTAATTATATCTACGTACGTAATATAGTTAGAGTTAGGATTTTTGATGAAAGAAAAAAAAACACGTTTTGCCGGCTGGAGTGTTAGCCCGGCCGTCAGAAACAGAGACTATTGTATGGCATATTGTTAACGCACATCCGCGCCGGATGCATTTTTGATATTACGATACGTTTGTATCGCCACTTGTATAAAATAGGCACTATTATTAGGTAAAGGGATTATTATTCAATCAGTAATGTTACACAGTTATCTGTTATGTTATATTTTGTGGTACATGTGTAAAGATATATATCGGTTAGCATTGTTTTTGCTATTAATTTAGGTGCGTAGAATGTTTATGTCTTTTTCAATTATTTGTATCTTTATTTTTTCCTTTTTTCTTTTATAATATAATTTATAGACACTTTTCGGTCCATTGTGAGGAAATTTAAATTTACTTTGTACTGTGGTAGACCAAAGGCTGGTAGTGGCAATATAAATATTTATCAATCATTATATAATTATCAAGCATTGTTTTTTATCAATAAATAATTTTATGAATTTTTGCTTCAAGTTATATTCATGAAATATTAAAAATGCGTTTATAACAGACAATGGAGTTGATAGTACCCTCCTAACGGTGAACTGTTGTGTCGAGTGGGTGGCCTATAGCTAGACTCCTCGCAACACTCAAAAAATGCTTTTAAAAACAGTAAAAGCTTTAATAAACACCCAAAATATATCCTAATAATACATATATAGCAATATATGCTTCTCAAATTTTTAAAAAATACTTTAACTGCTATGAAGCTCCAATAATACTTTTAAAATATTACACCTTTAGTAATGACACCGCTAGATGTCTCCTAAATATTGATCGCCGGTAGTTTTACGCCTTTAGCGATTGGTTCATGCTTGCCGCTGCTGCCACAACCGCCCCCCACATAACGAAACGGTAAGCACGACGTGTGTATGGTTCGCATGCCGCCCATCTGCGCTGCTGCGCTGCCGCCCGCAGTAAATTTTGAAGCATTTGAAGGTCGCGCTCACACACCGCTCACTCATCTCACCCACAAACACACATACACATTCACAATCGCGACGTACGTCTGCCATCGGTCTGACGTTCCTGCCGTGCAGCCTGCTGCGTGTTTCACATTACCAGTATCACGACACACACCAGAACCACACTTTGCTTCTGCGGCACAGTGAGCTAACCGCGTTTTGGCTTTGCACAGCACCGCGCACTAGTGTGAACCAGTGTGTCTTGAAAACATTGTGCTGAATTATCGCGACGACAAGCGGATACATCTGGCTCAATATGTGCGATTAGAAGCTTTGCCCGTGAAAGGCAGCAGCATAACAGGAATCGACAGGGATATACTCATATCGTAGATATTGTTGTTGTGCGACGATCCGGATTTTTGGCTGCACAAACAACGCGACGTGCGCAAAAAAACATAAATAAATCCTGTTCAAGTAAACGAAACGGAAAATAATCCAGAACGCAGTTGTGGACCAGGAACAGTTAAGCCACCTAGCCTTTTAAACCAAGTGGGTGAAATAGTATTTCTCTGTCATTTCTGCTTAAATAAAAGTGTCAGCGATGCCAGTGATACGACCCGACCGGCTGCCGTTGCCGAATCTGAAGACCTACACGTTCTTCAGTGTGTTAGCATTAACTACATGCGTTTACATTGCTAGTGATATGGTAAACGATAAAGATTGGTCACTCACAGCCAGTGATAAACAGCAGGAGTCAGTGATGGTAACCTCAGAGACAGTTGAAAATGCTACAAATACCACTTCGGAAGATCGTAGCATGAAGAAGTGGTTCTCAGATGTTTCAGCTGTTATGATCAGGGAACCTTTTTGTGTTTGGGTGAGCAACTTTTTTTTTATTCACGCAAATAACAAACATATGATGTAATATCAAGTCATATGTCTACAGGCCTTTCATGTATCTATTTTGAAATGTTGGTTTTTCAACAAAAAGAACCATTTAACATTCTGTTTTGATGATGTGGTATGGTTAGATTGAGATAGGTCAAATGTAAATTTAAATTGCTAATAATACTGGCATCGACAGTTTTATTGTGCTGGAAGTGTGGGTGTTAATCAGTTCGTTTTCTCGGGTATTCTACACGGCGTCATTTTTTATTTCGCAATGTTGTATGTACCTAGTATGCAGTAGCTATGTATGAATAATTAACGACTGTTTAAATTTAACTTTTACTGCTTACGGTAGTGAAACAATATGGCTTTTCAAACTGCAACTGCATTTACCACATCAAATATTATGTGCTATTTTAATGTCTAGGTATTGAAATGTTAATTATTTTTTGTTGGCTGACACAAAATTCTTTCCAAATTGATGTTAATTCTTTCAATTGAAAATAAGTTAGAATAAACAATGCGTAGTAAATTATTGCAACAATGTGCAATAATGTTTCTATGTACTGGTGTGTATTAAGGCCGATGTAAACTTTCATCCTTTCAAGGTGTCTACTGTTTTCGACAGAATCGGAAATAGGAATATAATATTTAAATTTGTGCTCGTTTACTTTGTACAATTACTCATTTTGCCGGATATAGCTAATTTCAATAAAATATTTACGTGGAAAAATACACAAATTGTTTAAATATTTAATAATTATACATTTGAGAAGCCAAATTGATTAGATATTTCCTTATTTATTCGCTTGTCTTGTCTCTGCCATGACATTGGGGCTTTGTAGCATTGAAACATTGAAAGAGAGGTTGGACTTGATTTGCGTTCGCTAACACACTGACCTAGTTTAGCTGCAAGTGAAGCGCAGCGGAGATGCGACATCGGCTTTCGATGCAGTCGCCGTTCCCGTCGTGATTACTGTTCAAGCGTTTTGCTGAATCTCGCAAATCGCAAATTGTACAGAAGCTCGTTCGATGAACGATTTTATTACTTTTTTTCAATTTTGTGCTTCGATTGAGTTAGATATTGAATTTATGACTTGATGGTTGGAGTTATGATTGGTATTCTCTTCTGTAGGAAAAGAGTTTATATTTTAAGCTTGAAACCTGGAACTTTTCTCTAAACATTTAATTTTTATTTTTGAAGTTTAATGTATTTATCGAGTTGAATTTCAACCTACGCCCTCGTTGCAAATATCAACTCATCGCTTTTATCTCAAATTATTTGGCTTGCAATTGTCATTAAATAAATACTCAAGTATCTGGAAATCATAAAAATATATTCCACGTACTCTGTACTGTATATTAGGAGCAAATTTGTTTCGTAGGTTCACAAATTGCGCCAATTCATTGTTTACTAAAATTGAATGTAATTGAAATTGACAATTCGCTAACTGAAATTCAATCGCGCCCACTTTTGAGTGTTATAACCATACATTCATTGTAAGCTGGAATAACTGGATGTAAGAATGATTGGTATGCGGTGAATACTTGATCAATATTCATTCGCAAAGTTGGAATATGCGTATTTTTTTTCTATTTTTAAGTCAAGTGGTACGATATTTTTGCATAACTTAAATTTACGAATTGATATTTGTTTTGTTTTGCTTCTAGAAGGTCTCGCTTGTTTTTATTTTATGTCAGCGTCCGTCTTAAATCTAGGCATTATTTCGCATTAATTTTTTATTCTTTTCAAGGATTTCGTTGAGTTGCGCGTAAATAATCTCTCGTTTTATAATTACCGGGTGGGGGGTTAATAAACAAGCACTGACGTGTTTATAAAAGTAGTGAATAATAGTTTGGTTTTTATTGCGAAACAGCAACTTTTTTGTAATTTTGAAAATTGGTAATAAAAATAATTTGTTGCAATGTGCAATAGTATTTACTTACCTGTTTCGACTCATAAATGTGGGGTTTTCACATAAACTGAAAATAGTTTCTTTTATCGCATTTGCAACATAAAATATTCCTATAAATTATCCCCAATATTTTTATTATTAGTATTATATTATTTCAATGTAAGTTACTAAGTAGGTACCTGCCACGATATGAGTCATCAATGTTTAGTGCGCACGTGAATTATTCAATGATAGAATTGTAATGACTTCAAAGACGAACGTGTACACCGGCTACATGCTGTTTATGACGTGTCCTTTTATTAACGTAATGTGGTTCGGTGTGTCCTTTACGATCTGGTCGTTTTTGAAGTTGTAGTGGAACATGTCACATTTGCCACAAGCACCTTTTATTTAAATTATGTATCGCGATGCGGTTATTACCGATATCATAATCAATCGATAAATATGCAATGGAGGAGAAATATTGAGAATCGGCGCACATGTATAAATTCATGCGATTAAAAATTTACGTCAAGTACAATTGCGAAGTAAATTGGAATATGTATGAGATTGATATAATTATTATCTTCTGTTGCTTTCAAAACAAAATATTGTAGTATGTTTACGTGTATATAAAGTACTTGCGTGAAATTTGTTGGCACTTGGATGGAAAAAAAAATTCAAATTATCCCTGTTGCTGATTAGATAACAAAATAACTGGATAACGGAATTAATCAACAACACATAATATCGCTAAAAACTTTGTTTCCCCCATTAACGACCTGTTAAAAATCTTGATCTTTTACAATTCAGTAATTTAATCCACTTCTTTTCAAGGTGATTCTTTTTTCTCTTTCTGTGTGAATGAATACTCATTTGTTCAGTGTTTTATTGTATTCGGGCGATAAAATGTGTCCTTTTGTGGAAACTTTGCACCTCCGATGTGTTTCAGTTCAATGTCGTTTAGTTCGTTCGATTGAATGTAAATGCGAGCCGCAAGCCGGGAGTCGGGGCTCAATGTTGAATGTTAAACGTTTAACTTGCCGCGATAATCGCTTGGGCCTGTGCGCCATTCAATTAAATAAGAAGTTGTGACATTTAATTAATGTCATTTCAAACGTAAACACGGTCAACACCAACACTATACGCACATTAATGGCGTAATAATGATTTTTTGCTTGTTTTAATTGAAATTTACCAAAATAAAACACTTTTAGAACTATATAATCGTGTGATAGTAATAGTAGTATTGAGACAAACATACTCGAAAGATAAAATTGATTAAATAACAATTTGTTTATTTAATGTGTACAATAAAGGAATTTATAAATAATTGTAGGACTTTCCTTGATAGCAATCAATAATCATTATTACTCATGATGATTAGAGAAATCTTAAGTCAGCTCATATTGCCTTAGGTGACAACTAGCAAAGTAAAAAAAAAATCACGAGTATATAATGTATGTTGCGTCTAGACTTCAGACTTAACCGGTCGATTGTTTTCGCCGAAACAATTTATAATTATGGTGTATTGTTTTATTTTCTCACTCGAAGTTGAATTTATCCACGATACTGTCGATTGCCCGAGATTAATAAGAGGGTTTTTGTTAAAAATGAATTACGATAGTGTCATATATGCGGTTAAAATGCAGTGGTCAAGTTTACGAGAGAATTTAGAGAGTAATCTTAAATATACGTTGATGTATGTGGAACAGTGGGTTAAAAGTTATATGGAATATGATAAAAATGCGATTTGTGATGCTGCTGGAAAGCTCAAACCACATTTGATGGTGGTATCTGTTGTTGTAAGTGAGCAAATATTTATTATCCAATATTTTTTAAATGTTAGCTTCCAATTTTTGTTCCTTATTTACTATAAAATAGTCATTTAATTGAATATGAAACTAATGTAGACCGGCAAATGTAATTAATCAATTATTTCATTAGCATATGCTGGAGGAAAAAAATCAAAATTTAGTTTAGGAAACAGTTCTTAAATAACTGGTGAAATGAAAGATGTAAAACATTGCAGATAAACTGATGAAGACGTGTTCTAAAACGTGATGATATTTATGGGCTAAAATCTAAGAATTCAAAATATGTATAGAATCTAATGATGTTAAAGAGTAATGTCATGGTTTTGACATGGTTTTGAATACCTAATTTATGATCTTATTACAAAACAAATTTGTAAATCCGGTTATTAAATTTGTGGGATGTTAAATTACGCATAAAGAATATTTTTATATTTGCTTTCTTTTCATGCATGCAAGTAAAAGTGAATTTTGCCGCACCTTGATGTCCTTGATTAATAACGGCATTGTATTGTAATATCTTTTGAAATATGCCCGGATGTACCAATAATATTGTAGCCTATTAGCCAGCAAAACAACAGGACTTGTTTTTGACAATGTTTGTGTTTGTTTTTTTACAGGTCCTCATCAACATGGCAGTCTGCTGTCTAATTCTGCTTGGCAGGTGTATCCAAAAGATGGTCTTTGGGGAGCTGCGCGTCTCTGAGCAGCAACATCTGAAAGATAAATTTTGGAACTTTATCTTCTACAAATTTATCTTTATATTTGGTGTCATCAACGTGCAATATCTGGAAGAGGTGTTATTGTGGTGCTCGTGGTTTGCACTTTTGGGATTTTTGCAGTTAATTGCTCAACTTACAAAGGATCGCTTTGAATATGTATGTTTTTAATACTAAAACATCCACAAGGCCGATGTGTTATGATGTGCGGTATTTTTGGATTTTCTAGTTGTCATTTTCACCAACGACGCCGATTTGGAGTCATGTGAAACTAATAGGATTGCTATCGTGCATTTTCGCGATTTCCAGCTTTATGCTGATGATATCCGTATTTGTTGGCTTTTTTGTCGGCTTCAACACGCTGGCGTTTATGTCGCCCGAGGTGAGCATGAACTTGACATCAATTTCTTTCTTGTATGATGTACTGTGTATATTTATAGCTGATTGTACGAGTAAGTTAATCTGATTTTGTTTTGTTTGGTTTGTGTCAGGTGTTGCTACTGAGTATTCGCACCCTGCACGTTATCTTACGGTACGGTTTTCACTTGTATGACCTTCGTCATGATGCGGCGCCTACCAATCTTGCTGAATCTGGTAAAATCTGGGAGAAACGCGGCCCGGTTGTTTATTACGTCGAGCTTGGTTTTGAACTTACCGCGTTAACCATCGACTTATTGCATCACTTGCATATGTTGTTATGGAGCAACATCTTTCTCTCGATGGCCAGTTTGGTTATTTGTATGCAGTTGCGGTACCTCTTTCAGGAGATTCAGCGACGTATCAAGAAGCATCGGAATTATTTATGGGTTCGCAATCATTTGGAACAAAAGTATATTTCAAATTCTTTTAACTATTGTGTTTGAGTATAATTTAATTTTGAAATTTCAGTTATCCAATGGCTCTGCCAGAGCGTATAAACTATTACCAACCTACATGGACATAGGTTTTAACTATTAAAATTTGTATGCTGTAAATGAAAACGAGAAACGTGATGAAAGAGCGCTCGAGAAACGTGCGGCATGCGCAGTTTCTAATATTGGATGGATGATGGTTGTTGCTTGGTTGATTGGTTTTCTCACAGCGGCGCGCGGCCGCATGTTGGTTAAGTTTTGTTCCTGTTTTACCATTTGCCGGCCGGCACGTCGACGATCACACAATCCGCGCACTAGAGCCGCTAAACGTGCTAACACGTTTCTATTACAATGAGAAGACTGAATTTCGTGTATGTAATATATGACAAATGTGTGATATGGAGGTTTTTAATTAGTTCGGGCGGACGTGCGCGCACGATTGCGGCGAATCGTTAAATGTTACGCAAGAAGAGGACACTTAGCTTATTAAGAGAAAATTGTTATTTTATTATATATGAATTTCCCGTTGCATTTGTTGCAACACCTCTCGCTTAATTGTTGCGATTGCGAGAGTCGGTCATAGATGATTAAGATAAAATGAAAGCGCGGCCAGTCACCGACGCTATGTTGGTTGTGGTTTTCGTTACGTTTTGTTTTGCGAGCGTGCGCCCCGCATCTAATATGCGCTTGCATGCGGTTAATTAATATGCTCGCTCAGTACTTCTAAATAACTAGATACCTAATATGTATATCTGTAAAATCGCCCTGCAAAGCAAAACGCAAGCAAACACGAGACTTATGCGAATATTAGCGCCCTCTGGTCCTATATTACGACTACTTTGTGTACTTAGGTTATGCGCGTATTTCATCGACGCGTGTTGAAGTTTTCAAAATTTCTCCTCTAAGCTACACATCCAACGATGAGAAGCTGTTTAAAAGTTACAACTCGGTGTTTTAAGTGTCAATATGTTAGTTTGTGCTTAGTTGCAGTATACATGCATATATATATTTATAATTATATATATGAATATTTAAATTAAATCTGATTAATAAGACTTTCAAATTGCGAGTGTTATCGCCTTGCACCCACGGCCATTTTGATATAGCGACGAAAGGAAAAAGTGACAACGTGGAACTTTCTGTTTTGCCAATACTCTTACAGAGAATGCAAGAGTAATAAACATTTATTACATTCGTGAGTATAAAACATTTACGCGTGCAAATCGTGCGTTGTAATTATACAATATTCATATTAATTCAAAGACAGGTATATAAAATGAACCATTTATTAAAAAAAAGATAGACTAGATTCAGGTTGCTTACAAAATTAAATAATAAATAAATAATAATCAGTTATTCACGCCATAATTAACAAATCATAAAAGTGGCATGGCCTCAGCATAACTTAAACAATATCTCGCATTGTTTCTCTCAGCAACTTTCTAAAAGTTGCTGGAATGAAGCCTTCCTCAGCATCGGTCGTTTTTCATCGCACTGTTGAGGTCACTGAAATACGCATGTACCATGGCATCATCGGCGGACATTCGCTGTGTAGGATTACAAATAAGCAGACGCTGTAAGAGATCTCGTCCGCGATTTCCTAGCTTTGGAACAACTTGTGACCAACTCATATTAGGCTGGTAAAAAGGAAACGGTTTATAATCAGGCAGCGCTGACATTCCTGCCCATGTGTCTTCTGTTGGCGTGCCTAGGAGTTTGAAAATGCGGCGTAGTTGATCATCAACATCGGAGCCGGGAAATAATGGACGCCCTGATCGAAAATATTCGGGTTTAAATGATTTTTATTATTATTTATTTTATTTTTTTACTTACCAGCATTAGCTAATTCAGCGAAAATACACCCAGCGCTCCACATATCAATGGACGTAGTATACAATTTAGCACCAAATAGTACATCTGGTGGTCTGTACCACAGAGTAACTACCTCTGCAGAATAGCACTTGACGGGAATACCGAAAGCCCTTGCCAAACCAAAGTCAGCCAACTTTAACTCGCCGTTTTTATTAATTAATAAATTCTGTGGCTTCAAATCTCTGTGTAGGACATTATGACTATGACAAAACGCTAAACCCCTTAGTAACTGGTACATGAATGACTTTACCACATCTGGATCAATGTCTCCATTGAGACTGTCAAAGTACTTCTTTAAGTCTTGATCACAATGTTCAAACACTAACGTGAGTTTTTTGTCGCTGTGTAGAACGTCGTAAAGGCGCACAATATTCTTGTGCTTGAGTTCTTTGAGTAGGCATATTTCTCGTAGAGCCGATGATGGTACTCCTTCGTCGTCATCATCGAGTCGAACACGCTTTAGTGCAACGATTTCGTGGGATTCACGATTTTTCGCTTTAAACACTGTGCCGTAGGTACCCTCGCCGATTTTTTCCAGTTTTTCGTATTTTTGCATTGTATTTGTGTGAAATAAACAAGCAAGTATACTAAATTCTTAATTGTGAACGTGTTAGGCTTTAGTGTACGATTGTGTTTTGTTTTTGATCAGTCGGACTGCCAGAGCTGTCACTACCAGCTTCACAGAGTGTTTAGAACACTAATCTGTATATACAAATCAGTGGTTTGGAACCAACTTTAAATTTTAAATAATTTAAATTTCTTTTGAATTATTTAAAATAAAACTTTGTTTTTTTATTTATATCTGTAAGTGTAATATTTAATTGCAATGTTTTTGAATTTTTATATGAATGTACAAGATATGATATTAAGTTGCCGGACCTGTTCTAGTGATTTTAACCAAACTATTTATTTCTCGAACACGGCGAACACGCATCCACAAAGTTGTTTTCAAATTTTAAAAGTGAATATAAGAAAGGAAATATCCCACTTATTCTTGTATTCCCAATAAAGTGAGTTCTACTCGAATATATTTACATCATGGATGATGAAGCGGAAACCTACAAGCTATGGAGAATTCGTAAAACAGTAATGCAAGTAAGTTAACCTCCAAATAACAGAAACAACAACATTCTTTCTAAGAACTTCAAATAAAATAATGTGATTTTAAGTTGTGTCATGATCGTGGCTACCTCGTAACACAAGAAGAATTGGATCAAACACTGGAGCAATTTAAGGAGATATTTGGTGATAAACCAAGGTTTGTTGTTTTGTTTGTAACAAAAATTTATATTATGGTAGATAGTGCCATGATTAATTGTATTTTTATTTATTAGTGAAAAACGTCCATCAAGAAATGATCTCATTGTATTGGTAGCTCATAATGATGATCCAACTGATCAAATGTTTGTGTTTTTTCCTGATGACCCAAAGATTGGCATTAAAACCATTAAAACTTATTGCCAAAGAATGCAAGTTGAGAACATTCACAGGGCCATTATTGTTGTACAGACTGGTATGACTCCATCAGCCAAACAGAGTTTGGTAGACATGGCTCCAAAGTATATCTTGGAGCAGTTTCTTGAGAGTGAGCTGTTGATAAATATCACTGAGCATGAACTAGTGCCTGAACATGTTGTGATGACACCAGAAGAAAAACAAGAATTGCTTGCAAGATAGTATCCTTTTAAATCAAATATTTAATAATTATTAGCTTTCAAATAATGCATTGAATGTAAAATGTAATTTCCTTAATAATTTTTATAGTAAATTGAGAGAAAACATGTTGATGAGAATCCAAGCAGGTGATCCAGTGGCTAGATATTATGGTTTGAAGAGAGGACAGGTAATTTATCTGATAAATACGTTATGATTTAGTTATCAAAATATTTTTTTAAGGTGGTGAAAATTATTCGTTCGTCAGAGACTGCAGGTCGTTACATTTCATATAGATTAGTATGCTAAGTTTCTATTTTAATTATATCTACTACAAATTACTTTTTGCGTGTTCATGTTGTATACCTATTTGTAAACGACGCGTGGTTCTCCCGCCTGTTAGCAGCGCCCTCTGCTATGAACCCGTCAACTATTTGTTGATAAATAAACTTCGTCTGTGAAGCTAACCTCAATCTCCATGTTATTTTTCAAAAATTTGTGAATGCCGTACCGACAACTTGCGTTGTACAAAACAAAGTATGAATCAGAAAATTGGGGAAAAATCCGAGTGTCTTGATGACCAGAGCGCTTCACCCGCAGCGACAAAGAATGTTACAATACGCTCCAAGCGTCAGATGGGCGACTCACCACAGCAAAATAAGCCGTACAGACCAGCACCTAAGCGCATCCGAATCAACGATGAGTTCACAAATCCGTGGAGATGTGATTCGGCGCCATACGAGTCACTACCAATCACTTATCACAAACCTATCTTCAATCCACCATGTTACTTTGATGAGAACCTCAATCAGCTCACCAAAAGTGAACTGGCACTGAAAATTATGTCCTATCATTATGCGCTTAGCATGCAAATGAGCATATGCGCGCGGGCGCAGCCACAGCAAGCCTTGCTGGGCGATCCTTTGCAGGGTAGTCAATTATTTAATGGTGCACTCGAAAGAAAGAAACCAATCATTACTACTAGTGATATTTTGTATGACAAAGAAGATACATATGTTTCAAGAAGTGGAAGGCTTGTTAAGAGGAGGCAGAATCTTGGTAACATTGAGATGATGGCAGAGGAAGATGATACAGAAAAAGATAAGAGTTATAAGAAAGCTAAAATACAAAGTGGCAAAGATGAACCCATAAAAACTACTCCAGCTGCAAAAAAGACCACCAAGAAGATAACAAATGAAGAAATTATGTCAAGAAGCTCTTTGTTTGCTGATTCTGCAGTTGGAACCAAGTCACGCACGCAGCTAATGTTCAATATGATGGATCAAACTGAGAAGGAGACCAAGAAGGCTGAAGCAGAAAAGAGGAAGTTTGAGCAGACCTTGGAGCATGCCAGTGATGATGACCTAGAAATCACTTCTTCACAGAGTCCTAAAGCTGATGATGATTCACTAGATTTTGTTCGAAGACGAATTGTTCCGCCATTACCGCAGAAAAAAGGCAAAAATTTGAAATTTTCAGGTACTAATTTGGATATTAATAGTGAGATTATGTGTTGGTTCCTAATTGGTTTTTATAGATTTTCCTTCGACTTCTGCTTCATCTGCGGGCAATCGCGATGATTTTAACAGTAGTCCGAGTAGTTTGTCTTCTTCTCAGGGGTTAAAAAGTTTGAATGGCGGTAGTGCCGGAGCGAGTTCTGCGAATTCTGGAAATAAACGCGGACCAAAGAAGAAAATTACTAATTGTCCGATTTGTGGGGAGAGTTTTCCTACAAACAAAATTGAGGTAGGCAGAGTTATCACTTCATGAGACTTATCAGTAGAATATGTAGGTACATAAACACCTACCAGTTGACACAATACAATATTTACTTTGTAAAGTTATTGCAGAATTATGCAATTTGGTAGATTTATAATCCTTTGTGAATTCATTTTATCTAGTGATGGTGCGTCAATACTACTACTGCTTATAATTCATATGATACAAATTAATGGTATTTGTACACCATTATTTTTGCAATGGATAGTACATATTGTTTTATACTACATCATATACTTATTTGTTGCAGGAACACGCCTCCACATGCGGGCTCACGTCTGAACTGGAGATTAAGAGCAGTATACCAAATCAACGGGCAGATACGGCGCGTTACTAGTTCTGCCTTTCTCCTATCCTCTCATCTTCTCTCGATTCCCACCTAACATTATTATATTTTTATGCCCAACATTTAAATCATCACCGTGCGTTTTATGTTCGGTTATTGTTAATACTAGAGTTATATTTCTATTGTCTGTAAGATGATCACAAAAATTTAATAAATTAAAGTTTAATAAAAACATGTTAACGTTTCGTGTTTTAATCCAATCCTTTTAAGTGTATTCATTTTGAGTTAGTGTTGATAAGGAGTTACATACCGCGAACGCGAATAATATTCTCATACAGTAGCTGATTACGTGCGATCGATATAAAGTATAAACAATTTATTGCATGCCAGCTGCCACATGAACTCTCACTTGAGCATTGGCTATTAACTAGTCGTTGGCAAGTCGCCGATGTGTGCACATCATTATTCAGTCATGCCAGCATCAATTTACTTGATAATTGTTGCATTACAACTGTGTGCGGCGTTTTCTACGCTATCTCTGGATGGCACGTGGTCTGTTCACTCAGATAGTAAGTACAAATATAATATTTACTTCTTTATCACACTAAATACAAACAAAAACAAATAGTTTTAAATTCTGACCGTGGTCATTTTTATATTTTGTGTTATTCACGTATTTAGAACAAGTTTTAATAATACTAATTGAATTTGCTTTCAAGGACATTTAATTATATCACATTGTAAAGTTATGATAATAACACTGAGAAGATGACATTGATTTGTGTTGTAAACATTTGTTGTATCAATGTATTACAGAGCATGAAGCATTTAACGCTGTTGTCCCCGGTGGAATTTACACCGATTTGATGCGTAATGGTGACCTCCCCGATATTTTTACGGCTATGGAGATGTGGACTCGCGATGGGTCGCAAACACAACATGGATATACACCCACATTTTTAATGGTACGTAAATATTTTCTGTTTATTTTTTGAAATCGATATTATCTTATTTTGGGTATAGTGGAGGAAACCATCTTAAATCATCAACACCAAACGATTATTTTCGAAGGTGTTGACACCTTTGCGACTGTCCACTTGAACTCGAAATTGATTGCCACCACCGATAACATGTTTGTGCGATATGAAGTACCAATTGATGGCTTATTACAGGTAATCAATAAACAATTTATTTAAGTTCATCTAAGGTTGATAATTTTATTACCAAGGCAACAAGCAACGAGTTAATCGTCACCTTTGAGTCCCCAATTAAAAAATCACAAGAACTTTATTCCAAACAAGCGGAAGACTATGTGGTGCCACCAAAATGTGTACCAGATATTTATAATGGCGAATGTCATGCTAATCATGTAAGAAAGATGCAAGCATCCTTTGCTTGGGACTGGGGCCCAGCGTTTCCTTCGATGGGATTATGGAAAACAGTCTATATCAATGCTTATAATGAAACTTATATTAAAGATGTATCATTTCAAGTTGTTGCTGACGGCGACAAATACAAATTTACTGTGACCGTTTACATGGCGCCTAATACTGCAAAACAATTAGATGGGGTACTTCGGATTACACTCGGAAATAATCACGCTGTTGATTTGTGGAATTTTGAGGTCCAAGGTGTTGCAACAGTTGGAAACGAGTTTATTATTCAAAAGGAGTTTCGTCAACTAAAGGTAATAATATTATATTGAAATTATACTTTTTGTTTTGGTCAAAGCTATGATAAAAATACGAAATTGATGGTTTTATAGAGTAAATATGACCTTTGGTGGCCTAATGGTTACGGTAGTCAAGTGTTGTACCCGTTAACAGTATCAATGGTTCCCGAAGATGTAAACGGTGCAATAGTATCGAAATCTGTTAACGTTGGTATCCGAGAAGTGGAACTTGTTCAAAAACCAGTTGGTAGGTAACAAATATTGAATTATTCAATAGTAGCCTTATGTTTATTATTAAGGAAATGGATTATCTTTCTACTTCAAAATCAATGGAATGGCAATATTTGCGAAAGGATCCAATATGATTCCAAGTCACATCCTTCCTGAACACTCCAATAACAAAACCCTAATCCGCAAAATACTACAAAGTGCAAAGGATGTACACATGAATATGATCCGGGTATGGGGAGGCGGTTTATACGAATCAGACTTATTATATGAACTTGCTGACGAGATGGGTATCATGATCTGGCAGGATTTCATGTTTGCTTGTTCAATGTACCCAGTTAATCAAGAATTTTTAAAGTGAGATACAAGAAACGTCCGCCATCTTTACATATGTCATTATTTTTTGTTTTTTTGTTAGCACGGTGGAAAAAGAAGTAGAACATCAAGTGAGACGTTTACAATACCATTCGAGCATTGTACTCTGGGCGGGAAACAACGAAAACGAAGCTGCTCTTACTGGAAACTGGTAATTGAAACGATACAAACTACATATATAACATTCGTTATTTAATATTTATCGTTTAGGTATGGTACAATAATTAATCGAACCCGCTACGACGCAGACTATCGGCAACTGTATGGAAAAACAATCCGTGACGTAGTTCTGAGGAATGATCCGTCACGAAAGTATTTATCATCTAGTCCCACAAATGGTGTTAAAAGTGAAGAGAATGATTATATTTCTCCCAATCCAGGCGACAACAATTATGGTGACGGTGTGTGGACTGTTTATATTGAAATAAATCATTTATTGATTGATCCATGTTTTTTTAGTGCATTATTACAATTATATTTTTGATAGCTGGGACATTAATATCTACCCAGTACCTCGTTTTGCTTCGGAGTATGGTTATCAAGCTCTTCCGAGTTATAGCTCAATGCAAAGTGTGACAAACAGTTCCAACGATTTGTTTATCAATAGTAAATTCATGAATCATCGACAGCATCACCCAATGGGCAATATTGAAATGGAATTTTTGATTAAGAGTCGACTGGATATGAGACCAAAGGTTAACATCGAAAGTTACAATAAGGCGTTCTTTTTTTACACGCAGGTTCGTATATAACGACAATATGTACATATTGTTTATTATTATAAAACAAACAAAATATTGCTATTTGCTAGACGTATGAATCATTAAGTTTATAATAGATTGTGGTCCCAGCTTGAATTAATTTGCATTATTTTTGCAGATTATTCAAGCAATGGCTGTAAAAATTGAGACGGAACATTATCGCCAATGGCAAAGTTACTTAGATTCAGCAGGACATGGAATGACAATGGGTGCGTTGTATTGGCAATTGAATTGTCCCTGGCTAGCACCAACTTGGTCTGGAATAGGTAAGTATTAAATCACTTTATTAAGTTATACTTAACCATTCTTGATGTTAGAATCAACTGGTAAATGGAAAATGCTTCATTACTACGCGAAAGACTTCTTTGCGCCAATCATAGTTACTTCTCACCAGTATCCTACTCAAATGGTTGATGTGACCGTTGTATCTGATCAACCTACACCTATTTTTAACGCAACTTTAAAGATTGCCATCTTTAATTGGAATTCATTTCTAGCAGTGAATGAAAAAGTTCGACAAATTGATATTGTACGTGGAACTGATTTTTAAAATATTTGTTTAGTTATGTTTTTATATTTAGAGGATGGGTTCCCAACGCCTTACGAAAATCAACATGAAATACTTCTTAACGCGTAATGCTGAATGCGCTTCTGATTACACTGATTGTTTTGTTCGACTTACGTTGTCAAACACCACGTCGATGATTGCGCCAGAAAACTTTATCTACCCTGTGGCGCTTAAAAATGCACCTATTCCATTTGCAAATGTACAGGTATAATGATTTGGGTTTGGTGCATTATACATTTTATGTTTAAATAATATTATTTTCAAAGATTGAACACGTGGAGCAAATAACATCCACGAAGATATTGGTAAGTGTTACAAGTGATCTACCAGCGGTATTCGTATGGTTGGAATCTACTCTTGCTGGAGTTTTCTCTGAGAATGGGTTTACAATGCTGCAACAACGAAAGGACATAGTGTTTGAATTGGAAAATTATTCTCCTTTAGATGACGTTGTAAAGAGCTTACATGTCACGCATCTTAGAGATAAAGCATATTTTCCTTCTAGTACTTTAATATAGTGTTGTGTTTTTAATATTATTTTAATAATATTTTAATGTTTTTAATATTGTGTAATTAATGCAATATGTTGGACAATAAACTAAACATTTTGTAACTTTAATTGATTGTGTCCATAGAATTTAATAAGTAACAGCGTCACCATGAAATGTGGTTGATACAGAATTATTTGGCAACCCAAAGAAAGAGAGGAACTTAGAAGATAACACTACTTTTCTTGAAGATTCAGACATTGACAAGTACCTAAGTAATATCTCATACATCAGTAAAAAGTAGTAGGTAGAAAAAAGCCACTATAAAACTATAAGTATAAATCTTTACTTGAAATTATGTAAAACTTTTTGAAGTGAAAACTTATTTATCCGGGGTTAGGCACTTTTTGGTAGGGGCAAATCTCGTGTGTTCGCATCACCGATATGTATATAGTTGTATATGTGTAGCTTATATGTAAAATTCAATGGGTTTAGTGGCAAGTTCAATGTATGTATATATACTGTGTATTGTTGAAATAGTGGTTTTGCTTTATTTTTATTTCAATTGTTTAAGATGAAGAAAAATTGGTAGGAGCTGTTTTCTTGAATAATGATAAAGATCAAGGGCCAAAACCTGATGAAATTGAAAGAGAGAGAAAACTCAAAAAAAGTTAGGTGTCAGCGATATCGAAATAAGGGAAAAAGTGATATGTATTAATTTTGTGTTGTTTATATTGACGATATACATAGTTGTTTTCTCCAATATTTCACAATCATTTCTTTTGCATGAATTTAACCTGAAGATACCACTCGATAAATTAGAACTTTTACGAAAAGAAGTTCCATTTTTGGGACACGTTATATCTACGCTTGAAATAAAACCAAATAATGATAAAATTTCACCAACTGAAGAAATCAAAGCTTTTCTATGTCTCACTGGATACTATCGATTTTAAATCCGTTGGAGATAGAATTGATGGATGCAGTACGTTAATTTTTGCCATTATTAGCCCGTTTGTAAATTTTGTTATTCATGGATTGTGTTTGCGTGTGTCAAGCCAGTGAATTGTTTCTTATCAACTCTCCTGCATGATTTAAATGTTTTTTTGATGCTATTTAGTTCTTTCTCTAATATTTTGAATTTTTTCACTGTTTCGGTGTACGCTATGATACAAATATTAGCTGTTTTTCCTAGAATACTCGTATTATTATTGTCCGTATTGCTTCCGTTACGACTGTTCTGGACGACATGTTGAACTGCTTTTAACTTATTGACGATATTTTTGATATTTCAATTCATTATTGCAAACCAATTTCTGCACGTATGAGTAAGGTCATCAGAAGTCTCAGTACAGAGTGGGAATTCGTTGCTGTACATTAAATAAGCACACGTTTTTTCGTCGATGAGCGTAATATTAGAAGGCGGTTTCAAGTGAGACGAGAGTGGACGAGAGTTTCAAATATCTCACTCTCGTGTGAACCCTTTTTTCTTATATTTTCTATTGGTTTTATTGTCTAATTCAAAAATTGTGATCCACAGAATGTTGCCTACATAAACAATTTTTCGTCATGCACTTAACATAAATTTTCTTTTTACAAAAATACTTTTTCATTTAAAACAAACTTATTTAACTACTCCTAATTTTATCTTTTAAATTGCACGATGATCAAGAATTTAAGTACAGTAATGCTTACATCACATCATCTTAGAGAATTCAAAATCAAACTCAAACAATAAACCAAATTGGTTTTTCTGTAATGTTTAACATCTTATGTCTAGATGCTTGATAAGCAATTGAAAGAGTTTCATCAACAATAGTGCGATTTACTTTATTGGGTAACACAAACCTTGTGGATTCAAGATCTGAGATAAGTATGTTAAAAGCAACAACAACAATTGACAGCATTACGTATTTTTCATCACAATTTGCGTTCGAAACTATTTTTAAATTTCTTAAATATTTGTTCAAGTTATAACCACTCATTTTCACTTAGTTTTAACATTCCTATACGTTTATTTTTTTCCAGACTTAACCAAAATAAATTTAAGCTTTTTTTAAAATTGATTCCTACTTCAATCATATTATGAATTCTAGTCTATGTAGACTTAACATCTAAAACTATTTGAATTTATTTGGTTGTTGTATTTTACAAACGTTAAAATTATTTTGTAATTGCTCAGACTTTCTTATTTTAATAAAAGTATTAAGTACTGCGTAATTAACGAATAGGGGATGATGGATAAAAATCATTTTTAAATAATTTCAGTCAATTCGTCTAATTAGGTGTCCGGAATATTACGAGAAGGTATACTTTCAACATTTTCATAATATCTTGAACATTACGGTTCAACATATGGACAAAACAACAAAAATGTTGATTTATATGATAAAACAATTGATCACTTCAAAAATATTTAATTCACACATAAATGTAAAGTTTGCCGTTGCATTATCAACATTATCAGGTTATTCCTTGAATCTTATTCTCTAACCCATATTCGTTTATGCATTTAAAAATACTTCCGCGATAACTTTTCCACTATGTCGACCACTTTTGTGGAATTTTTAGGAATTAAATCTAAAGCTTGTAGCTGCCAATTATCATTGATGAAGTAAGTAGTTATGCCGAAATATGATCTGAAGATCATCAAAGTCCAACCATTGTCAGAGAATGAAAATTTAGAACAGTTATTGTTCAAAATTTTCTTGACTCTCACTCGTTGCTTGTAAAAATGTTCCATCACCATTCGCAGAGCGCAATAACGTCGGGTACACTGATTTTGGGATTTAATATATGACCAAAATTTTTTCGCCATCGAAAAAACTCAAGGGCAATTTTTTCTTCGACATCCACTTCATAATTATAGCTTCATAATCTTTCGGTGATAATTTAATCTAAAATATAATATTCCTTTAAGTTCTTACAAGCCTACCATTTTTTTAATTACATATACATACTAAGAGGTTTTATGTTATTGAAGTCAAAAGGATAATTTTGTTTCAAAAACTACAATTGAAAACAAAATACGAAAGAAAATTGCTGCAAATATAAAAAAGAAATAAAAATTATTCTAATTATCAATATTGTTTAAGTTATTTGAGATTGAAATAAAATTAAATTGCGTATTCAGAAAACATCTGTCAATTTTTTTTTAACCCGCTGACAATGATTTTTGAATTGAAGTTAAGTTTCCATAAATTTCTTTGTAATGAGCAGACAGTAAATGCTTCATCATACAGGAAGTAATGTTATCTTTTCGGCTAATATTTTTGGTCACTTTTGATTTTTCACACACATATGTATTGATTTTTTCTCACCTTTAATAGTTTTAAATGTAATGAAATTTGAAAATTTTGAAGTTTCTTTTTGGTGGTTGATCAACCTTAGTTCTAGTTTTACTTATGTATAATAATTAATTCGCGAATGTCTCGACATTAAACAATAACATTTGAAAAGGAGATAAAAATTAAACTTGTAAAAAGCAAGATAAACAAAAAGTAAACGGAATAGAGATAAAAAAAGAGCAGCTAATTGGATTAATTTATAGACAGATCAATCCTCAAAAACAATTTCAAAGCATGTTCCAGAACACCAGTATTAAATTTAAACTGAAATTACTGATGACAAAATGCAAAGAATGAATATGAAAATATTTTGCTGTAATATATTTGAATAATAAAAATTTCAAATTTTAATAAAAAATGTTTCAAGTTTTCACTTCTATCGGCGGTCCATATAACTGTGCTTCGAGCTAAACATTTATGGTGACGCATCTTCTGTAACTCTACCAGCTAATTAAAAAAAAGAAGGAAAAAATCGGGTTGAACTCTGGGAGTGCCGTCAGAAGAAAAAACTTGAACATTTAGGTTGGGCATTTTTGAATATTTTGGAATGGTTAGGGAATGATTTCGCAAAAATTGCTTTATTTATCAGTATAAATATATCATCATCAGTATAATATCATTTAAGTGGTTAAATGCAATATTCATTTATTGCGCTATCGTGACAATCGTGGCAATTCATATTTCATTAAAAATGTAACCTAATACTTACAATTACAATTGTAAGTGTAAATTACAATTACTATTATCTATAATTTCAACGACTTATTCACAATCATCATTACTAGAATAATCTAATGGTAGTTGAAGAAAAGAACAATTTTTATTCGAATCTTAGACCGCTCAATTGTAGTTTGATAGTTTGTTGTGCTAAGATTGCGATCATTTGACATCGTTAAACCAAATTTATCATTTAAAAATTTATTTCATAGTTGATTTTTATTGTCTGTAAAATTTATGTTAAAGTAAATGAAAAAATTTTCTTACCAGTATTCTTGTACGAGTATAGCACGCAATGACTTATCTGGAGAAATGTAAATCGCAACCATAGTAATGAACTGATTATCACCAGAGTGGCAACGACTTATACACATATCGCCGATATCAGAAAGAGTAGCATTAAACATGCTGGTGTATTTCACATACACATCCATAATATCCATATAGTTTGGGCAATAATGAACTGTATTCATATTTTGATAAATAGCTACTCCTCGCGCTTGATGATTGTTCCTCCTGGAACTCGCAACAAAGTTGAAATTCGGAATGTCAATTATTTTATCATTACCCATTACATATGAGTTTCTAATAAAATTAACACAATCATCTTTTAACATGATCGACAACTGCTCGATCATCTACATGCGGACGTAAACGTTGACAATTAAATGATAAAATACCTATATAAAATATATACTTATTAAAAAATTGGTTGTTTGTAAAGTAGGTTTACGATCGAGATGTTTACGTGATAACGTCTTATTGGTGATATAAGTTTTTGTGAAGTAAGGAATTAATGAAGATAACAATTTTTTCAAATTTTAAATTACGTAAAATCACGTAAATTTATCTGTTTCCAATCTGGGTAATTCTGTTCAGGATAGGACGATGATAGGAAAAGTAAGAAATAAAAGGAAGGGTTTCAGCTGTTATGTGCCTTGCAAAAGTCAGGTCGATGGTTGTTCCTTTTAACGTAGTAGACTTTGAAACATCTGACATTGCACTTCAAATTTTGTTTCACTGTCTTTTGTTTCACATTCAACGAAAACTTAACCGCACGAGAAAATCTCCATTCGTTTGTATGCCGCTAGAGTGAGAGAGACGGAAGATCGGTCCACTCACTCGAACGCTATGCCTGCCTCCGCTCGTGTGGATTTCACGGAATGACTGGCAGCGCTCGAGATGAGACGGGAGATCGGTCCGTCTCTCTCTCGTTATAACGAGAGGGGGGTATACCTGCGATCGACCTCGAGAAGTCTCGTGACACAGTTTCTGAACAGTCACCCAACTAAAACGATTTTAAAGACGTTATCACGTCAAAATAAAATAAAGAAGTGTTTTGGTGATGGTATGCAAAGGATATTCACGTAATCTTTTCAATTCAATTGTTAAATCTTCTCGATGAATAGTTGATATTTTAATTTTTTTTGTTTCACTTTACATAGGTACACGAATTTTACAAATTTTACTATAGAGACGGTTGAGCCATCAGCAGTGACCATCTAAGGATGCGCGTAGCAGGTTGTAGGACAATCATACACGCACACTCACGCCCTGCGCCGCTTACAGCGAACAGCAGAAGCAGGCATACATTTTCACCGCGCGGTAGAAAGAGAAGGAGAATTACAGTCTCTCCTACGCCGCGCCAGCGGTCTACTCACCCTCCGTCTTACAAGTTTTCGATCAGGTCACATGTCTTGACGCGAGTTTAATTTTTTGCCCATTCCAAAAATTGCAAAACGCCGCTAAAAAAGTTTTCACCTAAAAAAAATCGCAAACATTCAAGGTATAAAATATAACAGAAATTTTCGTATTTACGTAGGTACAGTTTTCTGAACACACACCCAAATAATATATTTATATATAGTGATCATTTGTGTGTCCTAGAATATAAAATTTAGGTATTCCTCGAGTCCGATCCAAGTATTGGTTTCTGTTTAGATTTGGCAAAACCACGGTTCAGATTTCTCGATTTGGGCTACTAACGAAACCGAAATTGAAGTCGGAGGATTTCGCGCTGCGATTAGTCATGATCGAGCAAATCTAGGAACAGCTATCTCAATATCCCAATTCCATATTTTTCGTACTAATTGTTCTTTACCTAATTTTTAGGTTTCTAAATATGTATTTCAGTCCTTCTTATACAAACTGCGTACTTTCCTATTCATTTTTGTTTAGTGCCAATTGGCAAAAATGTTGATTAAATATGGATTCTTACCTATAATAGAATAATCCTCGAAAAGTTAATTATATGAGAAACTAAATAACGGCTGACTGATTATGAGTGACTATTTATTTTTGTCTCCAAAAAACATGTTCATTCTCTGTGGAACTTTCGATTTCGACTGAAAGAAGTGGTTTCGGTCGGAAATTAGATATTGCCAGAAAAATAAAATATGCAGTAAAAAATATTACAGTGTAAAGTCTTTTAATGTTTTTTATTACAATAAACACTTACACTTACAACATTTTTTAGTGAGGAAATGTTTTCTGTTTAGGTGAGTGTGTATAAGGACAGTAACAGTATAAAAAAGGTATTTTGAGATTTTCAAACTGAAAGAAAGTATGAGCATCGTGGTCTCCTCCATCCTATTGTGCCCTTCGATATACCTACTCACTTTTATTTACCTAGCAGTCCTCCTGGTTAATATTCTTAATAAGGGAAAGTAAAAAAAATATTATAGGATTAAATATGATATTTGAGAAACTATAGAATGAAGGCATGTTAGGGCCAAACTCTACAACTAAGTTAAAAGAGTGCTAAAATATGTAATTAAGCTATAAAAAATTGATTATTCGCCTATGAATACACGTATATACAAATACATACATATTAACGCAACAATTAGAGACATGAACAATGTGTCTGATATATGCAAGATTCTCAGAAACATGTATTTACAAACAAAATCAAACGCATTTCACCATACTCAGTCTATAAAAATTTAAAAGTAGCTATATATATATATTTGTCAACAAAAGCGCGGGTAGGTTTCGATTACGCAATATTTTTAATTGGATTAACTACTCAACTATTTTATTAATATATATGTTTGTTACCAACTGTGAAATACATTACCTTTTCAAACAAATATTGACATTTTCTTATCTATACATTATTATTAAAGCGTCTGCCATAACAAAACCTATTTGAATAAAAATATAAAATATAGAATCAGATTTAAATCATAATATGAAATTCAATTATTACTTTAAACTTGACCTTCGCGATGTAAAAATTATATAAAACAAACACTTCTTATTATCTATAAAAGGTTCTACTCATAAAATGATTAGGATTGAATCCAGTATAAATATCTCTGCTAAAATATAAATTATTTACTTGTACAATATATTACACGTTAACATTTACATGCAAATTGAGACACAATGTATTTAAAACTAATTTTCTTTTTGTGTGTAAACGTCATATTAGTTTTTGGCCACAAGGGAAATCGAAATATTGTATTTCCGGATTCGTTTAAGTTTGGTGCTGCCACATCATCTTATCAAATTGAAGGTGCTTGGAATGTATCAGGTAAGTTAAAATCTGAACCAATTTTAATATATTTAAAAATTTAATTTCAAATTTTATTTCTAATTAATTAGGAAAATCAGAAAGTGTTTGGGATTATTATGCGCATACATTTCCTGAATGGATTAAGGATGGTTCCAATGGAGACATCGCATGTGACTCTTACAATCAAATCGATGTAGACATTGCGAATCTTAAATTGTTAAACGTAAATTTTTATCGTTTCTCTCTTAACTGGCCTCGCATCCTACCTTCGGCTAGAATCAGCGATCTAAATCCTGATGGTCTACGTTATTATAACGAACTTATTAACAAATTGATTGATAATGGAATAGAACCAATGATAACACTATATCATTGGGAGTTACCTCAGAGTATCCAAGACCTTGGTGGTTGGTCTAATCGTCTCGTAGTTGATTATTTCGTACATTTTGCTCGAGTGGCTTTCGAAGAATTTGGAGATAGAGTAAAGACATGGATTACTATTAATGAACCTTTCTCTATATGTTCTATGTCATATGAAGAACAATTTCTTGCGCCTTTTATTCATTCCGAAGGTGTTGGCACTTATCAATGCGGACATAATCTTCTTCTTGCTCATGCGGCTGCCTATCATTTATATCAAGACGAATTTCGTGCTCGACAAGGTGGAGAAGTTGGTTTTACAATGGAAAACCCATGGCACGTACCTTTGGATCCTAACAACCCTGATGATATAATTGCTGCTGAAAGGGCTACAAATTTTCATGTAGGTTATGTCAATTGTAGAGTCCGACCGAAACTGGTTTTTCAGCCGAAACCGAAACTTCGGCCAAAACCAATATTTCGGTCGGTCACTAGTTATTTGTCACTACTAAATTTGATATTCTTAAATTATTTTAGTTTGATTGGTTTGCTAATCCAATCTATTCAAAAGATGGCGATTACCCACCTTCCATGCGAACTCGAATAGACAACTATAGCTCACTCCAGGGTTATGCTCACTCACGTTTACCAACATTTACCCCTGAAGAAGTAGATTATATCCGAGGAACTGCCGATTTTCTAGGTCTCAATCATTATACTTCTCATTTGTCTACTCTAAGTGAGAATCAAACACCAGATGATAATCCAAGTTATGACAATGACCTAGGCGTAGTGTTAACTGCAGATCCTGCTTGGAATCAAACAGCAAGAGATACTTTTACAGTATATCCTCATGGACTACGACTTTTGTTAAATTATATAAAAGAGACTTATGACAATCCAAAGGTTTATATTACAGAAAATGGTTATGCCGGTTTTCAGAATGAAACACTTAATGATCAAGAAAGAATTTGGTATTATCAAGTAATCATTGTTGAATACAGAAAAAAAGTTACTTGTATTAATAAAACATATTTTAGGGTTATCTAACCTCAGTTTTGGAAGCCATTGAAATTGATGAATGCAACGTGCAGAGTTATACTGCTTGGTCTTTTATGGATAACTACGAATGGAGTGATGGTTACACGTGCGTGACTTACAGTGAGAAAATGTTAAATAAATCATAATCGTTTTTGTATTACAGGTTGCGTTTCGGAATGTTCTACGTCGATTTTGAAGATCCAAAAAGAAAAAGAACTCCAAAGGATTCAGCATATGTTTATCAAAATATTATTAATAGGAGATATCTTTAAGTCAATTTATTTATTGTCAATCTAGTAACTTTGTGTCAATTTTGTGTCTAATATGACATATTAAATTTGCCCACCACAGTATCCATTTATTATGAAAGTATGCCACATTCTACAATATTATACAGTTGTTACACTACTTTTAAGTTGTGCACATTTATTAGCAGCCAAAGCTCTGACTGACGGAGAATACCAAAATAGGTAAATGATCTTATCAGTAGTTTTACTTCTTATTATATGATTGTGATTCAATATATAGACCTAACAATGACATAAGACCCGTGTGTAAGCGTGAAGCTGCTGAAGTCACTGATTATGAAGATCGCCATTATGTACAGAGTCATCAGAAATATAAGCATCGTAGAAGTCCGTTTGGAATTGTTTACAAAGATGGTAAACCCATCGGTATTTTAGAAGTATGCGTTTTTTATTGTAGTTTATTCTAGTATAAATTGTATAAAAAAATGTTTTTAGCCTATTTCAAGAATCTACGAGTTTCAAAATTTACAAGATGAATTGAACGCTAAGAATTCTTATAATAAACGCGATAAGGATGCTCCCAACAGTGGAGAAGATAATTATGTTAAGAGGAACTCTGAGAATCTTGAATCCGATAATATTATACGAAGTTTTAGAATGAATCCACACTTTCAAGATAAGCCCATGTTAAATAATCAAAAATTAGAAAAGAATGATCAAAAACGTGATGTTAAAAAAGCGGACAAAGCAAAATTGAGTACCAATGGAGATTCTAAACTATCTGTTATTGAAAATAATCTAAAAGAAATTATAAGCGACTTAAATTCAATTAGTTCCGACGATGAAGATAGTGAAAACATCGATTCGGTAGATAAACGTGAAGCACAAATGGAAGACGAAGATTTAGACAATGGAATTAATAAAATAGGACTTACTAAAGAAACGCATTCAAATAGTGTTGGATTGTCATCAGAATCTTCTATCAAGGAGAAAAAAAGTGCCGACCCGCAAAAAGCAGAAGAACCTTTCAAAGAAACGAAGAAAATTGCGGATTACCGCAATGAAGGCGAAAGTTTTATTAGGCAAAAACGGCAACAAGCTGGTACTAAACCAGATGTGAATGATATAGTTAAAGGATTAGAGAGTTCTGGTGATTTGACAGTGAGTGGTAACAAGTCACCATTAGCATCCGCTAGTACTACTGTTGAAGCAGAGGGTAAAAAAGGTAAAGGGGGGGATTTCGAAAAACGCGAAAAACAAACAGCGGAAGATTTAGATTATGAAAAACGTCTTCAACGCAATATTCAGAATAAGATTACTGAAATAAAGGAACAAGTTAAACGAGAAATTAAAGCTTTGAATTCTAACACAAAATCGAGTCCTGATGATAAATTGAATCTTGGTGACGAGTCTAATAAACTTAAACAAGTTGTAAATGATAATTCGATTGAATTAAATGAACCGGAACAAAAGCCCAGAGAAAAAAGAAATTTGCTTGAACAGGAAACTAGTGATATTGATTTAGCGCAAAACAATGAACAGAAATCTTTAGTAAGCCATATTAGACAAAAACGCCATGTGGCAGAAAATGACGTGGATGTATCCAGTGATGTTAACAGTAATGATATTGTCGAAAACACAGATACGCGAGAAGGTATGATATAAGATTATAAATTACATATTGTACTATATTGCTAATTTCTAGGTGTGAAAAGCATTGCAAAACAAACCTTGTCCGCAAATAAAGTAAAACGAGATAGCAATGTTGTTGACGTTAACAAAATGGGGTTTGGAGTACAAAATCAAAAACAAGATGTTGCAATCGCACCTGCCAAAGAACGCCTGGTAGTGACACGTGCGATTGCAACGAAAAACTCCAAACCCACTGCTGCTGCTGCTGTCGGCGGCCTGGACGCCGAAAAGCTCGAAAAGCTTGTCAAAGAAAGCGCTTCTCTCACAGAGTCCATAAAAAGCGAGCGTGGCGCGCGGTACCACGAAGGTGGCACTCACGTGGAAGTAGAATTACATGGACCGGTCAAAAACCCGGTAGAATCGAAGGCGGCCAAAACTGAAAACGTCAATGATGATAGCGTTGCTTTAGTAGAAAACCATGCTGAATCTTCTGATCTTGTTATTAACAATGGAAAAGATGCAGTGGTAATGAAACGTGATACGAAAGCAAAGAAAGATAAATCGTTTCATCAAAACGAGAACAACAAGAAAAGTGTCAAAATCGAAGAAATTGAGACAGTACCGGATAATTCTTTTGCGCCTGCTCAGAGTGGCATCAATCATAACTACAAGGATAGCGAGGCAACTACAAGAATAACACCAAGTTCCTCGGAGGTTTCTGAACCAAAATCATTCGAAATGAGGAGAGAAAACGCTGATGCAAAGTTAAAAGAAGAAACTGCACAAGACAGCGACATCTACTCTGAGAAACAAATTAATATTGCAGCTGCAGATGAAAACACAAATACTAACAGGTAATAATTTTAATAATATGTAAAGATTAATAATATTCAACCCTCGTTTTCTGTAAGTGAGGATGGAGATCTAAGCAAAAGAGCCATTTCGAATCAAGCAAGTGTTCGTCAAGAACGCAAAACCGAACCTGTATTGAGTTTAGAAGATATGCAGGCACTAGACAGTGCCAATAATATGAAGCGAAGACGGCGCTACACTGATGATTATGATTATAATCCTCGTGATAAACGTGATTATGATGTACAGAACATGCACTTTCGGAACTATCGCGGTGATGAGGACGAAGCAGATGATGAAAGCGACGAGTTTGATGATGATAATTTCGACGATCGTACTGCTGTGCGAAAGCGAGCCGCACAGGAACTAGAAAATTACGATGACCTAGATGGTGATTATGACCATCTACAAGCGAATGACGAGAATGCAGCAGACGTTATGCCACGTATGAACAAACGAAATATTAAAGCGAGAGATTATGTTGCTCGGTTGAACGAGGATGCGTATGATAACACGAATTATTTGTACGACGCAAATGGAAGACCTTTAAACCGAAATAAACGACAGATTTTAGAAAATGCCGGTGGGTCTAATGTTAACATGGCGGCTTTACATGGCGGCGGACCGATGGTTCGCCATCTTGCGGCGATTCGAGAACGCAATACACATATAGAAAATAGTCTGGATAAATCGAAGCGATTAGAGAAGAATTTCCAAAATGGTCATGCGGGGAAAAGTAATCAGATAATTTCCGGATTATCGGAAAACGATATTTTTGGAGCATTGCCACAAAGTTATGAAGGAGAATTAACGAGGTTTAAAAGAGTTAAACGCGATGATCCAGCCGGATGATGTGTGGAACACTTTACTATGATGGTATAGAAGAATGTTTCATATACTTCATTTTACACTTGTTTAACTTTATATTTAATTTTTATAAGGATTAAAACTGTGTTGGGTTGCATTCGTACAGTGGTACATGTTTTCAATGTAACATTTTGTCGGTTTGCGAGATTGCATTATAGATGGCGCTTGTTTAAAAAACGCGCTTGTGCCGATAAAGGTTGTGATCTCTGCTCGTGTTGTCAAAAAGAAGCTCTCGCTCCCGCAATAGTAATGGCTGAGTGAGGTATCGGTGTTAGACTAGAAAAATTGCCGTGGAATAGTGCGAATTCTTTGGATAGTCGAGCATTCCTCCAACGTTGCGAGTGCCGAAAACTGTAGATGCGTATACGACGGTGGAAATAGGTGAGTACAAGATAAAATAATGCAATACAGTTTCGCCGAAGTCCGACGGGCGCAAGTTCGTCCGCAAACACTCACTGCGATTTATTCAATCTCAGCCGCATGGCGGCATACAAACGCGGAATTTCATTTGGATTTCGATCTACGTGCGAACGCACAACCGGATGACATATGCACGCATTGTAATCGCCGCGACCGGCACAAGATATTTATAGTATTCACATCATTCCGATAAGAAGCAGTGGGTTAGTGCAAGCCCGTAGATATACACGGTGTTTGCCGAAAACATTGACTTCCCGCGCGGGCGGGGTGCAGTCTTTCAGGGGGATGATGTAATGTGGGGTTAGAACTGGCTCGCGATATAACAATAATCAGTGTAGCCATGTAAATGTTTGCTTGTTAAGTGTTTGACAATTGTTTCTGTGTTGATTAATTCTGTTGTCATTTCTCTTACAGAATAAGCCACAATGGCATACACTTGTCCACGGGATCTGGACGGCTTTATGCCGCATCTGCCCAAGAATGACACCAAGTTTCGCCAGCAGCTCGGTGCCGATCTGCTGGCTTATCTAGCGGAGCCATCCAATCCTATGTATTGCCAGGATATTGGGCAACTTGTTGACGGACTTATTCCATGGATGCAAAGTAGCAATTACAAGGTAAAAAGAAATATAAATCAGAAAGAATTAATTAGTTTAATTTATTCCGGTCATATGCAATTCTCACGTGTGAAAATAATGCCGGAACAATAGCAATACATCAGGAGCTTGAATTTTTTGTTCCGAGTTTATAACAATGGCGAAAGGTTGGTGGTATTAATATGTTAACGTCACTTAGAAATATTACCGTACAAGGTACAAGGCGTTTTCAAAGTTTCCTCGTAATAATTTCTTAAGTTGACTGAGGGTTGAAAGTATTCCTAATATAACCAATTTCCGTAATTTACTCGTACGTTGCTGACTCAAGTTTTGCAAGGTCGAGAAGAAGCGCAGCGTTAAATAGAAATTATTTGCCCAGTGCCAAACGAAACATGCAAAACATTCACTTGCGTCACTTTCACGCGCCTTGGACAGTTTGTTCGCTTATCAGCGTTGTCGTTTTAAATTTAACTGCTCAATACAAACTGTAGTATTATTTACGTGATTTATACATACGCAGTACCAGTGTTGTTTTTTTTTTATCATAATCGCGGTTTCGGCGAGCCTTGGACTTCCTGCATGAAAATTTCTTAGGCCGTTCGCGTCGTCAGCGGTTGCACACCCAAATAGATTTGTATTTATAGCGGCGCTGGTCGTATGCAAATGAGCAAATAATATTGGTAGCATTTACTGCAAGCTGCCAGAACATAAATGTAAGTGTACGCAGAAGTACTTGAAGAATACGGATCTTTGATGCTTACATACTCGAAATAACAATGCTATCAAAGTTCCTTGTTAGTCATCATCTATCAGATTTTAATACAAAAATATAACTTATTAAATCAATTGTTATAGTTTCCGAAAAATAAATTATGACTCATTTGTTATTTTCATAATGTTGTTGTAATCGTAATAATGTTCAGGGTTAAATTATTTGTCTGCAATTCTTCGATTTTATCATTAATCATGTGATAAATGTCAACATATCAAATCGTAGCAAATAAGTGAGGAAAAATACTTCAGATGCGCCCAGCAATATTTTGTCGTGAAAAGTATTACAAGGCCTTGGAATGTTTGTGTACACATTTCGAATTTATGTGTGGTGATACATTCTGCATATATTAACGTTTGGAGCGTGCTGCCTACTCGACTTGAAGAAGAATTCCACGCAGAATCTCTCAAAAATTCTAGATTTTGTATTATTATTTTTTTAATTGTCCGAGCCGATATATTTCTTTTTTAAATCTTCTATTAGACAGTAGCTAAATGTGCATTGAAGGTATGCCTGAGGCGCTTTTAAGGTCGCTGTGTTTACTTTTACTAGGTGCGCTATAATAGAGATGGGGTTCGCCCACGCAATAGTAAATGGCTTAAATTCTATGATTAATCATTATTAAGAACAGGACTGCACTTGAATGATTACTGTTAAAATGCTATATTGTATAAATGATTGCTTGAATGAGGTTTGTTTCTTATTCATTGCGGTCTTGTTAAAATTATTAACTCACACGCAACAAAAATTGCAATTTAGCTAACGAAGAATTATTGCGTTCGGAATGAATGGTTTATTCTAAATGTAGATCATTATTTTCGATCACATTCCGACAAAAAAGATTGTTATTCTTAGCGTTTTTTATAAATCAGAATGTAAATTAGATGTGTGCAGGTGATTAATTCGTCGCGGCGTTTGGAGCGTCTCTTTATGGTAGGACAACTTTTTCCTCATATTTATAGCGTATGTGGCATGCCCATTTAAAATGTCGACGTGCCATAATATCAATACACGAAGAAATGACGCGCCGTCAAAATGAAAACAAAACATTTTTTCTTTTTATAGGTCTCTAGTAATGGGATTGAGATAATGACCTATCTGGCCGATCGACTGGGCCAGGACTTTCGGCCGTACCTGCAGACGGTGCTACCGTGTGTGATAGACCGCCTGGGCGACGCCAAGGACACGGTGCGCGAGAAGGCGCAGCTACTGATTCTGAAGCTGTTGGAGCGCGAGGTGCTCTCGCCGCAGTCGCTGCTCGAGAAGCTCACGCCCGGCTTCACGCACAAGAACGCCAAGATACGCGAGGAGGTCCTGCGTTGTCTGGTCAACACGCTCAACGAGTAAGAGTTGGCGACGTTTGCATGCATGCGCTTACGCAGAGTTTAATTGTGATCGTGATGTTAATTTTAGACATGGCGCGGCGTCGGTGACATTAAGCAAATTCATTCCGCATATTGTCAAATTGCTGGCGGATCCGGCGTCTTCGGTGCGCGACACTGCGTTTGCAACCTTGGTCGACTTGTACAAGCATGTGGGTGAGAAGCTGCGTGTGGACCTGCAGAAGCGTAATCTAGTGCCGGCGCAAAAACTCGCCACCCTTCTGACGCGCTTTGACGAGGTGCGCGATGCTGGCGAGCTATTACGCACTGCTACTACCAGTTTAGACTGTAAGTTACAGCACAACATTATTACAATTGTGTAACGTTAAACATTACAGATTGTACTGACGAAGTGGACAGAATGTCAATGCCCAAGCCTAATATCCCGGTAAAGAAGGCCGGACTTGGTTCGGCTATTAAAAAAACACCTTCCGTTATGAGGACTGGTTCATCAGCTTATACATCAGCTGGTAAGCACTAAAAATATTATAAATAATTAATTTACTAACATGTGCATCATCATTATTAAGCTGGAGCTGGCGCAGTGGACGAAGAAGTGTTTCTGAAACAATTTGAAGATGTGGCCACAATTCAGCTGTTTACGCCGCGAGAGCTAAATGATCACATGAAATCAGTGCAGGAAATTATTTCGGACAGCAGCAAAGATTGGAATAAGCGGGTTGATGCGGTAAGTTTATAATGAATATAAAAAGTTTATAAAAAAACATGGTTACTATTTTGTTTAATGTAGCTGAAGAAGATTCGATCTTTGATTATTGCGGGTGCGACCGCTTTTGACGATTTCCATGTCAACTTACGCAATCTAGAGCGACCATTAGTGGAAACAATTAAGGATTTACGCTCGCAGGTGGTCCGCGAAGGATGCATAACTATTGCATTTTTGGCTCAAAGTCTAGGTAGCAAGTTTGATCATGCAGCGGAGATTTTAATCGTACCTTTGATAAATTTAATACAGAATTCTGCTAAGGTAAGATTAAGGTTATTTTTTTAGTTCTGTTCAATTCTACTATGTGACTTGTAGATTATGGCAACTTCTGGCCACACTTGTGTGCGTTTTATTATCCAATACACGCAAAGTCCTAGGTTGATACCGATCATCACTTCTAATTTGCAAAATTCCAAGAGCAAGGATATTCGCCGCAGTTGTTGCGAGTTTTTGGAGGTGATTTTAAGCTATTGGCCGGCTTATCCACTCGAAAAGCATATAGCACTTTTACAAGAAGCCGTCAAGCGTGGCATAGGCGACGCAGACTCTGAGGCCAGAGTTATTTCCAGAAAGTAAGTTGTAACAATATTTCATCGTATGTTATTTGACTATTTTGATTTTTCTAGAGCATTTCGTGGATTTCGTGATCATTTTCCAGAGCAAGCCGAAGCACTACTACAGTCTTTGGATCCCAGCCATCGAAAGGCGCTGCAAAGTGACCTGTGTCTTTCGAGCAGCTCTTCAAGCGGCAGTTTGGCGCAGCAGGGTTCGATGAGCTGTCGGCCCGTACGCAAGATGGCGCCGCCACTCAGCACAGGTAACTACTACGAGGAGTTTCCGAAGTCCCGTTCCACAATTACCCTATTCTCTTATAAATATTCCTGTGCCAATAAACCGATTTAATATGTCGTCCACAATCGAATCGAGTTTTGTGTACTATTGGACGACAAGTACAATGATGTCGTTCGTGTTTGTTAATTTATGCGTTGTGTTACGCTTCATTACGCTGCTTTGATGGATTTGCACGTTGCGCAGGCAGTACGGAGAACTTGTACAGTGGCTTGCAGCGCGCACCCTCGTTGCCGAGAACTTACAAGCAGAGGAGCGGTATTCCGGTCTTGTCTAGTATGTGACGATATTTTAACCTGTGTTTTAATGTTCTGCACAAACACACTTCTTAACTACCAGGCGTTGATGTTTTCTTGTAAAAGGTTGGATGCGTTTTCAGTTGTTTTCCACCTCCTAAAACACTACACGTTTTGTTTAATTCTGTCTTTTTTTTTTGCTTTACTTACATCTTGTTTTGATACGATTTTTTAGATGCGAACGGCCGTAAAGGATTTCGCAGCAATTCCGCCATTGATTTGCAAGCGGCGCAACGCGCGAAAGCGCGAAATCAGTATTCGGCAATGGCGCGCCAGAAGATTGCGTCCGGCACGGCCAGTTTACGTAAGTGTCATATTTATTGTGTTTTAATATTAAAAATTATATTTATTTCGAAGCTTGGGTGTGGTTCGCACGTGCACAAATATACATATTACCCACTCGCATATACGAGATAGGATTGCTCACTACATAGAACACATGCATGAATGTAGATTTGATTTGATTAGATTCGCATGTATATTAAACATAAACACTAATCTTGTTACGGTTTCAATTCCATGTCGATATATAAAATATCACAGATGGAGAAACGTCACCAGGTAAATATTCTGTAATAGTAGTAGCTTTGAAATTAAAGTTCACTTCATTATCCACAAATTAACACTTGTTAATTAAACATTTGTTCTTTTAGCGCGGCCCAAGAAGACGGATGTTACACCACCGATGACACAGTCGCCCGAAAGATCTGGGAGGAGTCGCAGTAGAAACTCTGGCGTTTCGCATTCTCAACGTAAGGATTAATTACTATTTTCTATTGTCCATGTTAAATATTCTAACTTTTGTACCGTCCATAAAAATTATTGCTTTTGGTTATAATTTATTTATGTAATTATTAATTTTTATCACTTACTAATATTTGATTGATTGCTTTGTGGAATTAGCAACTAGTCGTTCAGGATCGCCGTCATCGCGGTTATCTTACCACTACAATAGGATAGGACACGCCCTCGACAGCGACAGCCCACGACCACGGCGGTTGTCTTCCGGTATTCCTAGGTCGATAACTGGATCGCGGGACACGTCCAGAGAAACCAGTCCCACGCGCGGCGGAAGTTTGAGTAGGTTTAGACGAAATAGCGACCGCCCACCGATGAGCCCCGCCTCTAGACCACCTGTAATGGCACAAAAGATTCTTCAGCAGAGTCGCGAGGCGGAAACCGCACTGGCTGACGCCCTTAATTATGACCCAATAGAGACAGACAGCCACAGGCTTAACAGTCCAAGAAGGATGCGTTCCATTGAGAACCACTCTGATGATTCGGAAACGTCTAGTGTGTGTTCGGAAAGGTCGTTTGATTCTTATCGAAGGCCGAGTGATGTAAGTTCTTGGTTTTACATATTGAAGTGTCATTTTTAATCCATTTGTATGTACAGTCTTACTCTTGGAGCGGATCACAAAATCGTTTGAGTAGCCGAGATTACTGGGAGCCATGTCATGTAGGTTTATAAAACATTTAAATTTTGAAAACTAATGATTATATATATTTAGGATATTCACGAAATAATCCACCTGTGCGCAAGTACCGTGTGGCAGGAACGTAAAGATGGACTCGTTTCATTAAGTATCTATCTAAAAGACGACCACATGTTAACTTCGCATGAGCTTAAAGACATCACTGAAATATGCACGCGGATGTTTGTCGACTCGCACACGAAGGGACTAAGTGTATTTCTTGACACTCTCAACGAGTTGATCAACAAACACAGCGTGGACTTGCAGGAGTGGTTGTACATTCTCATGCATCGGATATTCTTCAAGCTAGGCACGGATCTCCTCATGTCTGCGCAGACGAAACTTCAAGCTACCCTCGAGAATGTGAAGGTGCATTTCCCAATTGAGCAACAATTAATTGTCATATATAAAATACTCGGAGACTCTTTTCAAACGCCGAACACCAAAGTTAAGCTGGCGGTGTTGAGCTATCTGACGTCGATTTATCGTCTCACGGGCCCAGGGCAATTATTGCGACAACCGCCAGCTAGTCAAGCACTGCAGAAGATTATCTCTTATGTAAAGGACTCCAAATCATCGGAAATTCGGAATGCGGCTCGGACTTGTATCATTGCGATGTGGAATTGTAACGTGGCGGACGTAACGATGATGCTAGGCGAACTGCCGAAGGAAATGCAGGATATTGCCTCGGATGTGGTGCGTAATCAGATGCGCAGCATAAGTAATAACGGTAGTCCCAAGCCAACATCGCCGCACACACCTACTCATAATCATGATCTAAATAGTGAAGAGATTTACAAGAGTCTCAAAAGAACCACGGCCGAAATTCAGAATTACAGCTACGAAACTGGTTCCAAGTTGGATAGAGAGCGAGATACGACGTCGCATGATTCGGGTATTTCTCAAATGTCTATTGGAAACAACGATATCAAGAATGATATTGTTGCGATCGAGGAGCGTTTTGAGAACTTGCATGTGCGCTCGACGTATGCCACGCATTCGATGAATGGATTGACCGAGACCGATTCAAATGGATATGATAAAGGTAAAGTCAACTCATTACTCGTACACTTTATTATGAAATTATTATTATACATTATTGCCTGCTTTCAGAAGTCAATGAGGAGCAAGTGGTGCTGGCTGTTTTAGAATATTGTCTCGTTGATAATCCGTTGTCTACTGAACAAAAGTGTGCATTGTTAGAGAAACTAGTTACTGTTATAAATCAGGGAAGGGTTGAACCAGTTATTCAAAATTTTAAGTAAGTACCTTGCGTTTTGAAAACTCGAAAGTGTTAGTAATGTATTTTTACTGTTATGTAAAAAAGGAAGCTTCTAAAAATCTTTTTGGAGACATTGAATCAAGCTGAGGTTAAGTCAGTGGTCGTAGTTCTCAGAATATTGGCTGAAATCTTAAAGAAGCCCGAGATGGAGCAGTGTTGGAGCAATTTCATAGAACTTCTTACGCTTCGAGTTTTGGATGCCGTTAGTAGCGAAAATAGAGAGGTAATATTAAAGTGGAACCATGTGGTTATTGTATAAATTTCATTTGTTTTATTTTTAAGGTTCGAATCGCGGCTGAGTTGACGACTACAGCAATGAGCGTTTTTCCATTCCACACAGTTGTCAACACTTTATCACCTCTCGTGCAAACAAGTTCGTATCCGCGGATTGATGGTGCGATGAAGATGATTACTCGATTGATTGATCAACACCCGAATGAATTAACCGATGATCATTTGACATCATTAATGCCAGGGTTGATTAAGGTTTGTGTTCCTTTATTATTAAGTCGGTGAATTCTTTCAATATATATGTTTTGTTTATTGCACTTTGATTAGGCAAACGATCACGAACAAAGTTCCGCTCGTAAGAGCGCCGTATTCTGCATGGTGGCCATTCACAAGGCGGTCGGTGAGGAGCGCATGAGCCCACATCTTAGAGCACTACCTGGCTCGAAGATGAAGCTGTTTAGAATATACATTGACAAAGAGAATGATGCCGCAGCGAAGAGCGCCCGGCACAAGTCGAGCTAGTCACGTGCCGCGTAATTTCATCATTTCGCACTAGTAACAAACCAATAGTTGGATCGACGCAGTTAGAATTGTTCAACAAATGATGATTTGCGCTAAGGGACGAAGCCAGAGACGAACTAAACGCGTTGCGTACCATGTGAAAATGGAAAACACGAGAAACATTTTCGTAATTTTATAGCCTGTATATTATTAATTCGTATTGAGTATAGCAGCGTATGGCACAGATTTGACAACACTGTCGTCACATCACCTCGTGTGTAACTGTAAATTTTCTGCACAGAAACTTGATCATTTTTAATAATTGTGCTTACTAAATGTATATAGTAATTATTATTAAAGCATTAGGATGAGTTGTTTACACACTGACTACATATTTTTGTGTTATGTTTATGGAGAGCGATGGTGAATGTTGAAAAAGAAAATTTGTTGAAAATGTTGATTGCATCGATTTTTTGCTGCACTACATTATAAAAGAGACGAGTATTAGGATGGCTTGCAACCGTCAATGCCTTTGTGACTAATTTATTATGATATCGTTTTCATTATTGCAGACATGATTAATCTAAATTATTGCGGTGGCTGGGATCGTTTGGCCATTGGATGAGAGCTTATGACGAGCTAAATATTTTTTATGCCAAATAATATATGTGTTATTATTAATCGCGATCATTGTGCTATAGTAGATACATTTAATTACAAATTTCTTAAATGATTCATCTAGATCTTGTAACTTATTAAAAATAAAATCAAAGAACTTTAACTTATGTTCGAGTGCGACTACTTATTCTAATCTGTTTTTGTTGCTTTTGTAATGAAGTGTAGAAATAGGATACAGGGCAAGTCCGATGATTTCTTATAAGAAAAATTTAGCGTCTCAAACAGGCAGAGCGCTTAGCACGAGCCTCGCACAAAATAGGGTCACCAAAAAGCGAGCTGTGCCTTGGCTGGGAGACACGAAGTTGCATCCAATAAATATTACTATGGCTCGAAGCATACACGCATGTCTTTTTGACCAAAATATGCAAAGGCTATAAACGAAGTGTTGAAGCTCGTTCGAAGCTCTAACGAGCAAGGAAAACATCGGCGGTTGATACAATGGGCTTTTCTAAAGTGGCGCAGAAATACGAAGGCGCCACGGGGAAGGTGAAATCCAATCCGAAGACTAATTTAAACATCTGCGAGTAATAACTCGGTGTTTTTTCAAAACTTCCAAATTTTACCACCTAAGTGTCGAGGCTCATTGCTCACTCAACATATCAGTACATGACTTCTGCACGGACAAGCATCATTGACTCAAGCTCCAGATTATTCAATTTCTCGCACGGCATCGGATCCTGCGCAATTTCTTCGACTGTGCAACGTGCGGATTTGCGTGTGCCTTTGTCGTGAGACAAACATCGCTGGACAGTTTCGTTTGGCAATGTCGGATTTGCAACGCGAAAAACATACGTGTTGGCTCCTGCTTCGAGGATGAGCGGCTCCCGCTCATCACCACATTACCTGTTCTGGGTGTATTGGGCTTTGGGCATGCCGCTTCGGATGATTCAACTCTTAGCAGAGGTATTGGAGAACACCGTCTTAAAATGGGCACAGCCAAGCCGCCGCGCGATTATGCTATCGCGGGAACGAAGCCCACGACTTCTGGGAGGATTCCTCGAGGAGACAAGAGACTTCGCTGTTGTTGAGTTCGACCAAACAATGCTTTTCAAAAGACAGTATAACGTTGGTCGGGTAAAAAAGCAACAGCGGGTTTTTGGAGGAATTAAGCGCGGAACGCGAATGCGTTTCCTTAGGGAAGTACCGAACAGGGTAGCTACCACACTTCTTTCAATTATAAAAGAGTAGGTACTCACGTGTCTTACACGAATTACAATTAAAGTGAAAATGAGTGTAATATTGGGGTTGGGGGGTAGTTGAGTAAGGTAAGGTATTGACATAGTTTGAAGTATCTTTTGCGTGCAAAGATGATACCATTTTGTACGAACAAATTCACTTTCAGGCATGTACTAATAAATAATTTATTAGAAATTATCGATGATGAGTCTGATGATAGTGATGAGTTTGATATGATTGAAGATAGTGATAATGACATGGAACCTACATGTACCACATAGTGGTGTATAAAACGAATTTCGTTAGCCCGGAACATCCCGACATTCCACACAGGGTGTGGAATCGTTCTGCTCCCGATTAGAAATGATGCTGCGCGCAAGACATAGAATTAAGCGTCGAGCACTACGAGAGTAGCTACAAGAATTTGCCTGGAGAACGGAAACTCTCAATACGCAGCGCGTCATCGAGCTATTATTACTTTGCACAATACAATCAAATAATTAAATTTAAAATAAAACTTAATACTACCATGCAGACTTGCATTTCACAATAAAGCCGACTCTGTACACCTGCATCACTATACGAACACCTTGTATATAACCTGATTGAAATGAGCAGGGTCGGCTTTATTTTATAGTGTCAGTTATTAGGGTCGTATTTTTAAATTGGATAAATTTTTTAAAATTTGATTAATCTCAGCAAATATCTTCTAATATATAAAATTTACGTGTCACAGTGTTAGTTACCGTACTCCTCCAAAACGGCTTTACCTATTTTTACCCAATATTATATTTATATAATTTTATATACCTACAGAATAGGTCTGAGAATCGGCTACTATCTATTTTTCATACCCCTAAGTGTTCACCCTTAAATTTCTTTTTAATTTTGGACAAAATTTTTTCTCTTTATTTTTTTATAATTAGTACACTCATTTGGTGCTAAAAAATGTGGTTGCTTGGTAAATAGTGCAGGATTGTTGAAAATTGGTATTCATATAGATTTCTATGTGCTCTTTACGAATTTCAACTTTGCCCCTCGTATCTTTGCCGCTCGCGCCACCATTTTGGAAAAATGGTGTCTAAGAACAGTTTTTTGACCATATCTCCTTTCCGACTCATTTTACAATAAACATATTTATATAATAAATTAAACTAGAGAAAATGTCCTATAATTTATGTAAGTACCTTTTTCTTGTAAAATTAATAGTTTTAGCGTACGGGCGCCACAAAGTCTACTACAACATTCGTTTTTGTCAAAAACTCATTAACTCTGTACTTTGTACTCGGAAGTACAAACATATGGCATATGACCATGTTGGATTACAAGGTGCCGGATTAGACAGTAGAGTTTTGTCCTGTCATCTCATTTATTTTATTATGGATATTGAATGTATCATACCGCCTCTGGTATTCTTCTATTTCTTCAATTTTTGTCTTATTTCTTCATCCTTGGCTACTCTAATTTTCTTCTGTGTATTTTTCTCAATTTTTTTATGCTGCTGCACATCATTTTTCATAGGCCTTCTTTGCCTATAAGTTGCAGAATTACATTAGACATCCATGTTTTTTGTTTCATGTATCTGGTTTTAGAAATTTCTTTTTTATGTTTTGTAACTACTGTTTCATTGATTATTTTGATGTTATTCTTAACAGATATATCTATTCTCTTTTCAAGTTGGTTATTTAATTCTGTTTCCGTCTGCTGTTTTAATATACGATTATTTCATTTTTTTATCATATTTTTTTGTGTGGCACTTTAATATTCAACAATTTTGAATAAATATGCACTATATATGCAAAACAAAAATTACAATTATCTAGAATGTTTATTAGGAATTGGCAAAATGGCATAAAAAGGAACCTTAAAATTAAGATCGGAATAATAGAATACATACCAAATTCAACAAAAAATTATAATATTTCAAAATATTACTTTTTTCACATGAAATGATTAAACAATATGATTAGAATTAAACGAACTACTTATTAATAATAGTGAAGTCGCCTTTGGCTCCGGCGCCCACTAGCGGCGAAGTCAGTGTGTGCGAGTGTTTGTTTGTTTGCGGAACGCCCACAACATCGCGCGGCGCTACAACCCCGAACGGAACGACAACCGCGACCTACAACCCCAAACGGAAGAGGCCGACGAGCCACGAGCACCGCCGACCTGACCGCGCTAAGGGTGCTCAGCAACGGATGCTGGACGAGCCGCGCTCTGGACCACCAGCATCGTTCAACGCCGCACGCGTCTCTCGACCTCGACCGAGCATCTTCGTTAATAAATTACGTTAATTGTTAATAAAATACAACCTACGCATCAAATTTGGCGCAGTCGGTAGGATTGCCGAGATACAAAAGATTTCAAAATTGACCTGCGATCCGGAAGAAGCATGCGTCCCAAGATGGTTGCACCCGCTTATTCTGGACATCAGACCGTCATCCGCGCCGAATTATAGCTGAACCTTTTGAAGTGATTGGTTTCGACAAAACGGACAACAAGAGGTCAGCCATGCTCATGGGCTACCTCGTGGACGACGCGTTACAATGGTACGCGACGGACGTAGCCCCATGGGTACGATCACATGGGCGTGGCCGACCCGCTGGTGCAGGCTCAGCGCAGCATCCTAGGGCCCTCAGAATCCGTAGAGTCCTACTGCAACGACAAGATGCGGCTACTACGAATGATCGCCATTGAGGAGACACGCGTTGTGGCGCAACTTACCGAGGGGATGCCGACGCATTACCGCGGCTATTTGCCACTCCAACAGCGGCCGATTGGCTTCACGTGGCCAAGCCACGCTGGGGAAACCAGCGCCACCGCCCGCATAACCAGCAGCATAACGAGCAGTCTCCTCGCCACAGCGTTGGACGTCGTCGCCCGCGCGCAGTCCAGGCCCCAGCAACCAAAACCGTCGCCCGCCAGCGGCGTGCCGCATCTGTGCCGAAAGCAGGCTGACGCAATGGCACTGGCACCGCGAGTGTCCTCGTCGGCGGACCCAGCCGCCGGTAGCAATGATCGCCGCCGAGCCTCAGCACGACCCCGAGGACGCGACCCAACAGGTGCCACATGAGGAAGCGGTTCCGGTTCAGGAAAACTCCCTGAGCGGCTCTCACTAGGTCTGCTGGATATTGCGGTGCGGATCAACGGTTGCCCCAGCAGAGCCGTTGTTGACTCCGGAAGCACCATCAACGTCATCAGCGCTGCCCTCGCTAGACGCTTGAGTGTCAAGCCCCATCCGCACACCGCAAACGCCGTCCTCCAAGTGAACGGTCGCACCCTTAGCGACGGTTCCGCCACCGTCTCCCTCACCATCGGCAACGATAGCCACCCTGTCGATGTCCACGTGTTGGCCAATTCACCCCGCGACGTGATCATTGGCCTTCGCACGAGTCGAGTCTTCGGGCTGAAGATCGACTTTCGCCAGCTCACGGTCCACCGACAGACCCCTGGCCAACCACAACCAACGCTCTGCCTCATCGCCAATGCCCAGCTGCCGCCTAGCACCTCCACCATTGTGGGTCACTTCCCGCAGCTTTTCGTTACCGAGGATACCGATGTCGGCCGCATCCCCGATGTGGCTCACCGCATCCGCCTCGAGCCGGGTACCGCACCCATCGCCCGCAGGCCCTTCCGGCACTCCCAGCCAGATGCTGAAGCCATCCGCGACCAGGTCGCCACGCTGCTGTCCAAGGGCCTCATCAGGAAGTCCACGTCCCCATGGGCATCACGCGCTCTTCTCGTCGAGAAGAAGTCCGGTGGTAAGCGCTTATGTGTTGATTACAGACCCCTCAATGCAGTCACCGTTGCTGAACGTGAGCCACTACCGGACATCCGTGACGTCGTCGATCAACTGGCGGAGTTCCGCGTCATGTCCGTCCTCGATATGGCCTGGGGCTATTGGCACATCGCCGTCGCCGAAGAGTCCGTGCCACTCACAGCCTTTGTCACCGCCGATGGGCAGTACGAATGTACGAATCAAGAACGCCTTGACTTCGACGTCGGTAGTCAGCATCTACCGCCCGGACAAGCCTGTGGTCCTTTTTACTGACGCCAGCACCGTTGGTCTTGGAGCTGTTCTGATGCAGCCAGACGACGACGGCCACCGACGTGTCGTCGCATACTACTCCCGCCGCTTATGTGGTGCTGAGAGTGCGATGTAAGTGCGATGGAACACTTCCATGTCTACGTGCACGGCAAGCATGTGGACACCTACTCGGACCATTCGGCGCTTCAGTGGCTCTTCAATATGAAGAACCCCTCAAGCAAACTGTACCGCTGGTCGATTCGCTTGTCGGTGTACAGCTACACTATTCATCATCGACCCGGACGACTTAATGAGGTAGTTGACGCTCTCTCACGGGAGCCAGTGTCGCTCCTCATCGATGACGACGTCTTGCGACGCGAGCAAGACCTAGTGGACGATCCGCCCCCAGGCTGCCAACAAACGCGAGATGGCCTTTTGATTCATCGTCATCGAGGCCTGGATCGAATATTTGTACCGGCTCCACTCCGCGCCGAGGTTCTCCGACACTACCACGACGAGCACGGACAACCTGGCGTGTTGACGACACAGCGCCTCTTGGGCGGACACTATTGGTGGCCTGATGCCGCCGATCACATCAAGGCGTAACGAGGACAACATGACCGTGCACAAATAATAATTACGTCCAACAATAAATAATTAAATAATGTGCATGTCATGCCATCGATATTTTACATAATTAATGTAAATGTATCATTCATTCGAGAGTGGAAAAAAAGAATAACAACACAACAGATTATCCGCTATAGTCGCGATACGCCTCAAAATGGAAACCAGCGCAAACCAACAATTGTAATAATATTAACAAACACACATTTGCGTAACAAGCAGAACGCAAAAGGAATAATTAACAAGTTTGTAAACTTTTCTCTTCTCTCTGTTGCTGCACTGCGCGAGTAATAAAATTTATGAGAACTTTGTTTTAAGTATTGTGTTTTATTTGGTGTTAAAAATATTGCAACAACTTGCAAATTAAATTGTTGTTATTTTGTTTATTTTGTTATTTTATGGTAAAAATAACAAAATATTAATTTTTTGGATTTTGTGTACATTTGTGCTCATAAAATAATTTTTTATTAGGAAAATTAAAAGAAATAAATGCAAATTTGAGTTTTTGTATGTTTGTGACGCTTTCACGTAAAAACCACTCAACCAATTTTTACAAAATTTGGTATAAAGATATTTATGACTAATAAAAATAATATAGACTACTTTTTATCTCATAAATTTAACTTAAAGGGTGTAAAATTGAGGTTAAAAGTTTATATGCACGTATAATCACATTATACTTATAAAACTCAAACACAGATGGCGCTAAAATCCATTTTATAACCAAATAGTAATCAAAATGTAAAAGTGAAGATAAGTTGCACATTGTGCATTGAGCAAGATGGCAAAAACACACTCTAACCGCATAGCGTATTAATTAATCGCCAATCGTTATTCATGATGACTGTAGATGGATTACAGCGCGTGCAATAACGCATGCAATATTCATGTAAATGTGAAAATCGCGCGCCATATAAAAAGCACGTTAATTAGAAAACCGTTCCATAATCAGATGCGAGATGCCAACCGGTTTTCCCACATCTCACCAAATCGATTAGCAGCGTATTGATTGAGGTCTTAAATCAGCTAGATAATAAAACTTAATTATCATAATCGAGATTGGATGTAAAAATAATTACATTTTTTCGTATTTACATTATAAGCGCATTAGCATTAATAAATGGAAGAAAAACGGTTATTACGGCTGCAATTATTCATCATGGCTCATGGATCACTTTTATTATTATATATTCTATAATTCACGTCGTTCATTGAGCAGCTGGAGAGTTTAAAAGTAATAAAAAGAGTCGTTAAATGAAACAAATCAATGTAATTAAAAGTAAAATTGGGTTTATTTTGATAGAATATTAGGTATCAAGTGATTAAACGAGAGTTTTAGTCACGAGAGTGATTAAGAGCAAGAATAGCGACTGTTTAATCAATCAAGTGTTTAATAATGTTTAGCCACATGTTGCTTACGCTATTTTTTTTACTTTTACTGAATTTCCACGTTGAGTGCTACACCATAGGCAAATGGAAGATGCAAGCTCCACCCCGTGACTAAAACCCGTGGCTAAAGTACTTTACTCACTGGTTTGGCCGTTTTTCTTTAAAATATCAATTTTATGTCTCAAAATTGTGGAAAAACTGATGGAAGTTAAAAATTTTTTTCCAAAATTGCGTTTGCAGACTTTACTCACGAAAAACTTTCCACAGTATTTTCCAATTTTTCTCTGCTTTTGTATGCGTGAATGTGTGGATGTGTTGGCCCCTCATATAGTTTAAAAGTTTTCCTTTCCGCTCATGAAAGAGGCGGCCTCTCCTCGGCGTGGCATGAAGAAAAATTCTCAAACTCCAACTCAAATAACATGGAATTTTCTATTTTCAATCTTCTTTTCTTGTGCGTTCATTTTTTCCCTCATTCTTCAAATACAGAGCGCGATATACTCTTCTTATGTGGCTATGTATGTGTATGTGTGTGAGTGAATGTGTGCGTGTGTGGGTCGTACAAATATTAACTTATTTCTTTCATATTTTCATAAAAGAAATTTCATTATTTTGCGTTGCGCGAGCCATAATGAAATTCCCATTTGTAAACTTTGCTATTATTTTAAAGAATTCCTCATTTATTTCCATTCCGACGTCGAAAATTAAAATTTCAAATTAAAGCATAATAGCCCAGCATGTTTGTGTTATTAATAGTTTAGTGCGTGTAGTTTTTGCGCTGGTGTTAACTTGTGTTTCATTAAACATTTAAATAAATCTGCGAATCTCGTGACTTGGGGCAGTAAAAAAGCATTTAACTCGCATAGTAAAATTTACTTCTTATGATATTTATTTTAATGTTAAGAGGAAAATGTTAAGTATTTTTAAATTTTGTTATGGTAAGTAATGGTATAAATAAGAATTTTAGTGTTTTTGTATGTTTGTGGCGCTTTCAAGCAAAAACCACTCAACCGATTTTGATAAATTTTGGTTTAGAGATAGTTTTGACCAAGGAAAATGAAATAGACTACTTTTTGTCGTAAAATTTTAACTTTAAGGGTGTAAAATAAGGGATTAAAGTTGATATTGAGACAAAATCATAGTTTTAGTCACATAATTCGAATCTAGGGGGCGCTAAACTGCATTATTAGCATTTTTCTTTTCTTTAAATTAAAATTAAGAATTTAATCGACGAATTTATCAAATACTACCTCCGAAAAAATAAGAAAATAACTACTTAAAGTACTTTTTACTAAACCTACGCAGACATATGTTATTCCATTGGTATTTAATTATTATTATAACCATGTGTGCATTTAACGTAGTTCCTTCCACTTTCCCACCCTTCCGTACTTCGATAACTTTTTCCAATCTACAAAATGTTCCCCGGATTAACGTCACGTCAAATTTATAATACGCCGATAAGAAACGAAATAGGGGAGCGCGCTGCACATCACTTTTGTAAACCATCGCGAAAGATATATGTGCACTGAAATAAAGAATAAAAAGCAAAAGCACGATAAAAGCAACGCAAACTTTTAAGTTTCGTCCGCTGCTGCAACAAAAACAAAACGCGAAATAAGAAATTCCAAACCATCACAAACGTATATATAAAACGCGAGCGTAGAGAGAGAAAAAAAACGGTAACAAAAAAGTTTAAGCGAACATGAAATAAAATTAAAACTTTTGCGTCCACTCATTTAAAGGTACTTTTATCATTTGTTTCTTTAAAAGTCAACTTTTCATTAGCGTGTTTTATTTTTGGATTTAATTTTTAATTAAATTTTTATGCCACTTTGGAGCCGCGCGCAGAGCAAAGCGTGTTTTGCATGTTTTCTTTGCAGCTTTTCGCTTGTCGATGGTAAACTTTGAAAGCGGTTAAGCCAAAACTAAAACTTTCAGGGACGCAGAGCCGCTGCAAATCGAATCGAATATTTCATGACATGGCGGAAGCAAAAAAAAAAATCTAAAACGACGATATTATATAAAAGGCCGGAAAAGAAAATTATTTTATCGATCCAATAGTAAATTTTAAACTTTCGTGTATATTTGGTTGCCTATTTGCTGATTGTTTTCAAAACTGGCGTGCTCTTATCTAACATCGTCTCAAGTACGCTAGCAGAACAATAGCAGTTGAAAAACTTATCGGTTATATTAATGCCGCATTCAGTTTCGCCATCTTGTCGGCGCACAATTAAAAATAACAATGCCAACAATAGCTGTTGATGCTCGGCAGCCATCTTAGCTGTAATAGGACTTTTGTGATCTGTATTATAAGATGCCTTTTGTTTGCGCACAGGCATTCCACTGCTGGTGGTGCAAACATTTAACGTTTTAACATTGTATTCTGAAAAGTAGCGAGTTTTAATTTTGTTTGCGGGCGGTTTGCATTAATGAAACCGCAGGGCGCGTGCCCGGGTGTCGATGGTGTAAACTGTGCTAAGGGGGATGTTCATCAGGTGTTATCGTGTCTTTGGGACGGCAATTGGCACGATGACATCGAGCATAATGGCTGTATTTGCCTACCGGCGGCGGTGGAGCCCGCGCGCGCACCCCCTCCTGCGGCTGGCGGAGGTGAGGTGAGCCCCCGTCCGCAGAAATTCAACGCCAATGAAAAGCATCTTTTCCGCAGCGGGCTGCGCGCCCGCACGGGCCGCCGCCACCGCTGTGTTTCTAGCATTCGCTATGACGACCGCGCGCAGCGCCAAGACGGAGAGCGGACGTGACGTCGGGAGGACGGGTTAGGCACCGCGGAGACGGCGGCGGTGGCGGCAGGGCGGCACGCGCGGGCACACGTAAAATCAATATCCCCGGGGCTGCTAAATCACGCTTATCAAGAGCACTTTTGTCAGCGTGTGTGTGTGTTAGCGGCGGCGGCCGTCCCCGCGCGTGCAGATCCAGAAACCGGGCACGGCGCGCGCCGCGCCTACATCCTTAAAACGTCGCCGCACGCCGCCATAGTGCACGCTACACAAAACATTCAATTTGAACATCAAGTTGAAACGAAATGGATTTTCCACGCCCCCCAATCGGGCGGCTTTATGCCCACGTCAAGGCCAGGAGACGATTCAACAATTCAATCTATAAAACAACAATTTAAAAATCAAAACGAAAATAAAAATAAATTATTAACTACTAACAAGCTTGTAGGTATTATCTAAAGGTGTCAAAAGATCCCCAGCTGTGGTTATGGTCGCAAGGGCGGCGGCAGTGGCAGCGACAGCGGTGGCGGCGCTTCCTTTGCGCGTGCCGACACGTACTTATGCGTTCGGAGGCGGCGGGTGTCGAGCGTCGAGCGCGTCGCACGTCTCTATCCCGCCTCGAGATCCCGGCGTGCGGTCCGGGACCCACACAATTACCACAATCACAACCTAAACCGCCGGGAAAAGAAAAAAAGATGAACACAGCAAAAACTCTTAACCTACAGTTTTTATTAGAAATCTGTAAATAAAGTTGCCTATAGTATTATTTTTACCATACTATAATACAGCTGTAAGTTTTGCAAATATTTTGAGGTAGGCAACCCAAACATCAATAAAAACAATGAACATGCACTTCTACTCTAAAATCCTCATCCACTTGAGTTTTTCCCTAAATAAAACCCAGTAACAAAATAAATTCCCTATCCTAACATGTTTTGACACATTTGTCACCTGTTTAAAGGTCAAAACAAGGTCACAAATGACAACTGTCATTATCGTGACAATTTGGCAAGTGGTAAACGTGCTGGTTAACTTGCTTTACGAGCCCCCCGAACCGAATGCTTGCCGCTGAATGAGATGTCCCGAACGTGCGAACCGCCTGCGAACGTTTCGAGCGTGTCGTGAATGAGCGCGACCACGCCACAATGCTACCGCACGCCACTTTTACTACCGCCTGCGCTCGGCGGTCGTAGTCGTAACAAAACCGACGCGACGCCGCGGCCGCCGCTATTATCGCATCGCATGCACAAGCTGTGAAACGCCGCACGCGTCCGCGCGTTTACTACGCGCCTGAAAATGAATGAATTCCTCTCCTCTGGGCATGTGAGTATATGTGTGTGATCGTAAAAACAATCACACTAGCAATATTTATGCAATAAACTAAAGCGTGTTCATCACGATCATTAGATCAGCTGTTGCGCATTCCGACTGTGTGTGAATGTGTGGGTTTTTTTTGTGTGGCGTGTTCGGGTGGTGGTAGACGAGACGCGTGTTTATCGAAATCGCTTATGTATTACGGGTAGCGGTAGCGCGGCACGCGCAGGCGGCAAGCCGTCGCGTGCCGGCGACGACAGTCATTCGCACCGCTGGAGGCGCTCGGCACAGTGGCACACTGGCGTGCGCTTCACGATCTCTCGCCCGCCAAGATCATGCCCGGTGTGCTTTTTTGCTCGCTGGGCTTTTTGTTCGTTTTCGGCGTGAACACGCCGATTGGCATGGCAGCAGCATGCCTCACGCCGGCGTGCCGTGCGGCAGGCGCGAGTTCACGCTCGCTTTCGCTTCGATTGCCTGTTCGCACTTATTTAAACGTTCATTCACTCATTTATTCATTTCATCGCGGCGCTTTTTTCCTACCGGTGTTTGGATTAACCAACAAGGCGCATTCCACCGCATTGATTCCTAGTTATCAATTACCACGCCAATCAACACACAGCGAATAACAAAAATGTTTAAAACAGCTATAACTTTTGAAGTAGACCTGCTAAACGGACGTGGTTTTCGAATTTAGAGGTAAAATGTTAATGATTATCTATTTATCAATGTAGTTTGGTGTTATCACGGCGAGTTTTTGAGATATTTTGGTTTAAAACTCATAAAAACTAAAAATTTCAAGAAAATTATAAAATTAAAAGTAAAATTGCTTTTACACACAAAATATACATTGTAGAGACATAATATTAGTCGCAATAGAAACTACGATTAATTAACTTTAACTCACCGCAAACAGCAAATCTCTATCTTCTCTAGTTTTCGAGATATTTAAGTTTTAAAATCAAAATGACAGCAAAAACTTAATATGACATGACATGCAACACGTAGAGGTCAGCACTGTCGCATGTCTTCTGTTTTGACAGTCACGTCGCGCGTCAGAAACCTGTAACAGTAAATGACGATGCAAATCGTTATAGTTATAAATTTTCAACTGGATGGTAAGTGTAATTATTATTAAATATGTGTGTTGCTCATAGAAAATACTTGGCGTGAGAAATAATCCGCTGACCTGTTTAAAACGCGCTTAAATTAAGAGCTAGTGTCGAAAAACTTGTGTCGTGTTTAAATTACGTAAAACGATTACATAAATAAATTCACAACGACGAGCGTTGGGCTGGCGGCGTGCCGCGGTGCGCCGGGTCGATCCCCATCTTCCCGCGGGGGTTAAGGGTGGTGGCGTGCCGCGTGCCGCCGCCTCCCTCGCGGGGTATTATTTATTCGTTTTTCATGGATTTTTGAGATTTAAATCGACGCGGGCCGCTCGCGATTCGCGTCCGCACGGCGCAGGAAGGGAGCCTGGTGGCGCGGCAGGGGGGGGAAGGGGCCCCTCGGGAGGGGTCGCGCGCGATCGCGCCGCGCGCCGCTATTTCGTTACGCGCCGCTCTCGTGCCAGCACCGTGTGTCCCGTCGCGCAGCGTACCAGCGTACAGCAGCAGCACAGCCCGAGCCCGGAAACATGCTCCAAGCAACCACGCGACCGGACCTTACCGCGCGGAATTAGTATACGAGTACTACAATTCGATTTCAATCTCGGCGCGCGCGCGAGTTCCCTATTGATATATAGATAGATATATATTATTAAATCGTGACTTTGTACCCAGTGTGTCCTGTGGATTACCGCTAGCAGCACGGAGAAATAATTTTGGTGGTGTCGCCAGCAACCCGCCGGCGTCTCCACGCGCCGCCACCACCACCACCACCACCGCCGCCAGAGTTTGGTTTATCCTTTTTTCTCGATCTACGCTGTCCCACGCCAAGCCAACACGCTGGAACATTTACGGCCCATCGTGGCGTCGATCAACACCCTCAACTCTACGTCTGATACTATGGAGGCAACCTATTGCGTCGGCAGTGATGTAGATGTTTGCAGGATGTTTGATCAGTATTTATACAAGGTAAAAATCATTTTCTTCTCACGTGTCTCATCAAACTATTAATAGGGTTTAAGAATAAGCTTTAAAAAACCGGTTTTGAGTTGAGTCGCGTATGAGAAGATGCATCGCAGCATCTGTTCCTTCTGCGCATGACCCTATTACTTAAGTAACACAAAAAGATTGGAATTTATTATAGTTTATGTATGCGTGTGTTTGTTTAGGCAAAGATAAGTCCCAATGCTTTTACTTAAATTTATGCTGTTGAAATGTTTTCGACCTTTGCGCTCTTATCTTGCGCGTTATCAAGATGCTACGCGTTGGCCCGCATGTAAAGACTCCAAACTACACTTGTTTAACTTAACAATTCCTCGGCGTATTTTTATTTCTACTTCCTATCGCACACAATGAATTATCATGTATAAAAGTGCTCGGAAAGTCGAAAATTTAATTGCTTTTTGTATATATGTAGATAACAAAAGCACCAAGGAAGTTAATAATCATTAATAAACCCAGCTGTGCTATTGTTTTCTACGGGGTTTTGGAAATATTTTTTTTTAACTTGGAAAAAGTTCCGCTGTGGCTTCGGAAGTTTTAATCGCATCGCATTATTTCGATGCAAATTTGTACATATTTGAATTTAGAATATATCAGATTTACATTTTCCATTTCCATCCATTTGCATTTCGTTGAGTCGGTGGCGTGCGTACATGTTTCATGTTTAAATTTGAATTCAATTTGGATTTTTATTGAGTGTCACAACATACGTTTATGCTGGGGAACATTATAGTGTACATGATCTAGGCGCTCCGCGCAGGAGAGACACCGAGTGTCGTGCGCATGCGTTGTGTGCGGTTATGTGGTTGTGTGTGGAGAGTTGCGTACGGGATGCGCGTACAGACTGTATGTATGTGCCTGATGCACTTAACTTTGAAACGGAATATTATTGGAACGCTATAAAAACGTCATGTTTCATTTTAATATCGCGCCGATACTTTACCAAGCTATAAACTTTGGAGGAATTTATGGCTGTTTCTATAAATGTGGTTTCATTTTTGTTCAGAGTTTCTTTTTGTTGTTTAATGAGAAGTGAGGTGGTATTATGTTTGTGTTGGGAGATATTTGACATTTGAAGTTAAAATCATGCAAAATTAGTATGAAAAGAAGTAAAAATTTAGTTTTTGGTTAATTGTTGCTAATTGTTAATGTTTTTCAAATTTGTTTAAAGTCCATCTTATAGTCTTGGTTATAATCTACCGTTATCAACAAAAGTAACAGTTTTATCTCTTTTAGATTCCGAGTTATCGACGTTTTTCTCTGATTAGAAAAAAATCACAAACTTTTACTTTTTTCCTCCTGAAGCAAAAACAACAAAAATCACAAAATTTTCTCTTGCCATTTTTATTTCCATTTTAAATCCGCTTTTTAATGGTTATTCAATAAATATTTTCGGTTGTTAAATAGCTGAGTTTTCACGTCGTAAAGATTGACGACTGTAAATCTAAAACCAACAACAGTTTTCAATCATTTTTAATTAAATTCTGGTTAATGAATCATTTTATGTTAATTCTTCTTGACCTCATCTTATAGTCCATGTTTAGATCTATCATTAACCACAAACAACACATTTCTATCTCATTTAGTTACGTAGTTACGGACGATTTAAACATTACATGCAGTGCAATTGAAAATTGTTACTCTTGCACGTTATACACAAAAACTATAATGATTACAAGATTGCTTTTTGGTAGGTTGTATCAGTAATTAATTTCCTTTCTAATGATGCTTTGATCAATAATCTACACTTTGTATTTATATAGTTATAACGGTTTTAACAACAACAGTTAAATAAATCAACTGAGTTTAATTTTTGATATTGAATATCTTTATCAATTTATAGCCAATTAATAAAATTATATGTTCATATTAAATGTTTAAATGTTAGTCTATTTAATATACTATCATTTCATAAAAAATCACTTTAAAATTTTAAATAGTTTTCGAGTTATGACGATTTTACAAAACATTTCAAATCAATAATTCACGGCTTTTAATTTACCTACGCACGCACGTTCCGCGTTAAATCATGTGCAATATTTGCAACAACACATGTCCGGCCGCAAAAGTCCAATTCGGTGCTTTTTCGGAGAGTGCGTGCGGTTTTCGGTGCAGCATCGCCGCCGCAAACCCATTAGGTACACTTTCATGCATGGTTAATACCATGCGCGCACGCACCACAACCTGGGCACTGGTTCAGTTGGGCAGGCAGAGCGCATCGGAATGCCGCGGCGGCGGCCGCTCGAGAGTGAAATGTCCCCCGACGTCGACGGACCGGATCGGACCACCCGTCCGGCCGATCGCAGATGGGCAATGCACCCAACAGGTCGGCGCGCTCGGGAGGAGAGGACAGGTTGAGAAGTGGTACCTCTCTTCTTTTCACTGTATCAACTATCAACCCCTTTTTCAAAACCACCGCAGCATCTGTTGCATATCGCATAGCATCAAAATTTAATCAAAAAAATAACAGAATTTTAATATTTTAAATATTTGAGGTTAAATTTTGAGGAAAAATTTGTTTTTTGAGGATTTTGTGCATATAAATGCATTATAATGCTATTTTTAGCTTTTGATCAACTTTTCCAGTATTCATGTGTAGAATACAGGTGTTTAAAGCGGGAAATTTCAATTTTTAAATTTTTTATTGCGATTTTTAAACAATTTACGATAAATATTGCGAAGAAAAAGGTTGCAAAACATGAAATTATAGTAAAAATAATTATTTTACTAATTTTACTCTAAGAAAAAGTCGTGAAAAGTGAAAATTTAAAGCAAAAATACTTTCATCCCTTATTTAACACCCTTAAAATTATAATTTCTCCACCAAACTTCACATTATTACTTACTATACCAATCTAAATAATTTCTAAAAATTTCATCAAAATTCATCCAGAGGTTTTCGAGTTATTAAGGAACAAACATACATTCAGTCTAAATAACCCCCAAAAACACCGATTATAAACCGAAATTCGTCCGGAAAATCACCCAAATTCATTTCTAACAAAATAAGTATACATAATAGATATTTATATAATGCATTTGCTTGTTTGTAGCCGCTGGGTCATTAAATGTTTGCGTTATTTACGAGCGATGAATAATGAACATTCGTAATTGTTTAATTAAAAATCATTAATCATACTAATTATGCACGATGGCTGGCATCCACTATACCCAAACAAACACACTCACCCATACACGCAGTTTATTTGCAATAAATTATTGAACAGTGGCCGCGAGCGTGCGCTGGAGAGATGGATCGCGAATATGCGGAAACAATTAATTCGTTCTTTACATATACACACACAAACACACATAGAAGCCAGAACTATAACGAGAAGCAATAAATATGTAATTTATTAAAAGTTGGCTTTTAAGTTAAAGTTTTACGTTGCGCTATTATCGTTATGGCTTTTGCTGTATGTGTCTTTTTGCGCAGAATAATTGTTATTATTATTCCGGCGAGTTATAAGTTACAACAAACAGGTTCCGCTCGACTTGGTTACAAAGTCGTAAAAGTTTGAAATTTATTACGAATGTTTAAGCCGCGCATTTTACGAACACAAACGCTCATATAGCATAGATATAGATTTAGATACACACATTTGGGTTACGCGGATGTACAGTGTGTCCGGAGTCACGCTTTCCTAAACATTTAAACATCATCATAGATCAATCTGTTGGTTATATTACATTACATTTCAATTTACTATTTGATTGAAAAACATGTTTGAAAAATTTAATAAATTATATTGTAGTTGATCGCTAATTGGCATTTATATAAATTGTCCGTGTGGTGTTGTTACAAGTTTTTGTGCAAATAATGCCGAGTCGCAGGCGCAGAAATAGTTTGTTGTAATAAATAAGCAAATAATCGCGCAGAGTGTACTTGTGTGCAGTGTGTGTTTTGCACAACGGGCACTGTACTATACGTATGTAAGCGGAGTAGTGAACACATGTCGAAACGGCACACATGTATAAACTGATTACATAAAAATTCCAGCAAACTCGTTTTCCTTGTGTGAAAGTTTACATTTTGCTGCGAGCAAATCAGCAAGGCATGCAACATTCAATCTTGGGCATAAAATCAACTAAATCTTATGATATTACAATGCGGAGTGATTACCAATGTGGAAAATATGTTATGTTTGGTTAGGTGTGTATTGTGTTTGAATTTCGCGCGCTGCACATGTTAAAAGTCATTTCTACTGCGTATGCGTGAAGAGTAGTAAGTTTAAA